AGAACCAGCAGCCCAGGGATGGCTCCACCCACCATAGGCTGGGCCCTCCCGGGCGGATCACTAACTGAGAAAATGCCTTACAGCTGGATCTCATGGAGGTGTTTCCTCTACAAGGGCTCCTTCCTCTGATGACTCCAGCTTGTGTGAAGGTGACACAGAACCAGTCAGTACAGACATCATGTTATGACACAGTTAGGTCAGCTCTGGAATTGAAACACAAAACAGCAGAAATGATCATTTGACCAGAAAGTGGAGGGAACCTACAAATGGGGAGCTGCCCTTAGAATGACAGCCCTGGGCTCTGAGTGGCGAGTGTAAGGGGTAGGTCAAGTATTGGGGGGCGCCTAGAAGGACTATGAGGGGACACAGGCTATGAGCTAAAGCAGCCAGAATTCTGGATGCTTTCCTCTTGGAGTGAGGTAACTGTGGATTAACTGTCCTGGCCCTAGTTTCTCGCTTGCTAAATGGGCTCAAAAGTCTGAGAAGATTTATGTTTCTCATAGAGTAAACAGGCAAAATGGGCCATTGTTTGCACTGTCCAATCGAGAATACAGAGCTGGTGAGGTGGCTCTCTGGGCAAAAGCATTTGCGTGAAACTACCGAAATGTCCACTCCACAGTATAGTTAGGAGAAAGATTTTTACCGTGAATAGGAGAGAGAAAATATTCAGAGGCATCCGGAAGAGTCTAGAGCAGAGAGAAAGAGAAGTAGATTGGGCATGGCCAGGGCTACCTGCCAGAGAAGTGAGAGGGATGGGTGTGGGTATAGACAAATCACACGGATTATGAGCAGGATGGTAGCTGGGGCATGGGAAGGGCCGGGAGGCTAGTGTAGGCTTGGAGACGTATAGGATGTACTTGTGAGCAGGGCCTGAGGGAGCCTGGAGTCCTCCGTGGGTACTTGACATGCAATCACAGGCGTGTATGTCCATGGAACCCATGTCCCTTCTGCCAGAGGTGAGGAAATGACTCCCTTTGGAACCATTTCACACATTCCTGAGGAGTGCTGGCTTTTGTCTAAGGCCAGAAATCCTGTGTGGACAGCTTGAGCTCACTCCAACACATAGGGATTATCTGAGCCCTAACACTGACTGCCTGCTTTGGTTCTCTGAACCACGTAAAAAGCCAGATGAGGTGACACACATTTGTGATCTCAGTGCTTCTGCAAGATGGGATGTCTCAGGCTGCCCAGCTGGAGTGCACAGTAGTACTCAAGCAGAAACAGCAGGAGAGACCCTGCCTCAAAACACGCTGGGAGGGAGGAGACTGCCAACTCAGAAAGTTGTCCTCTGACCCTCACCCGTTCCCTGCGGCACATGTGCGGGGGGAGGGGGGCAGAGAGATGGCTCAGAGGTTAAGAGCACTGACTGTTCTTCCAGAGCTCCTGAGTTCAATTCCCAGCAACCACATGGTGGCTCACAACCATCTATAATGAGATCTGGTGCCCCCTTCTAGCCTGCAGGCATACATGCAGGCAGAACCCTGTGTACATAATTGATGGGAGATGCCATTCTGTGAATCTGTTTCTCATACTGGTTAATGAATAAAGCACTGTTGGCCAATAGGAAAGCAAGATGGGCGGGACTAGGAGACAAGGAGGAAATAGGAAGGAGTAAGGAGGGGTCAAGATGGAGAGACTGGGGAGACGAGACACCTGCCATATTCCCTGGTAAGATTAGAACACATGGAAGTACTTATATTTAACAAAAATGGGTTAATACTTAAGACAGAGCTAGCCGATAAGAAACTAGTACCTGGCCAACAGCATTATATCAAATACAGAGTCTCAGTGTGTTATTTGGGGCTGGCATGGCGGCGGGACAAGACCAGCAGCGGGAGGAAAAACCTTACTCCTCATACATAATAAATAAATAAATCTTTTAAAAAAAGAGTCTTACCAGTTGTGGTGTCATACATTAATAATCCCAGCACTTGGAGGCAGAGGCAGGCGGATCTCTGTGAGTTCGAGGCCAGCCTGGACTACAAAGTAAGTTCCAGGACAACCAGGGCTGTTACACAGAGAAACCCTGTCTTGAAAAGCCAAAAAAAGAGTCTCTAGGGGGTAGGCCCTTCCCCCAGTCACAGTGAACCTCTGCTAGGGTCCATGCTGAACACAGGCCTGGGGGACATGTGTGTAGCAGAAGTTGCCTGTGTGTGTGGAGGAAAGAAGAGAGACAACTTCTTCATCCACAGTATTGTCACTCTGCTGGGATGTATAATATCCCTTGAACTGGTGGACCCCAGTTATATTCATTTCCTACTGAGACTCAGAATGGTGCTCCCAACATTTATAAACACCATTTAAGGAGACCTGCACAGATGAATGCTGTTCTCCTGCTTTCCCCTAACTATTGTTATGAATCAAAAAACCTACCGGTGACCTAACAGGCCCAGGAGACTGATGGAGGCTGCTTTTCATTTGCATGCCTTTGGTTACTAGGAAGGTTGGACTTCCACAATGTGTGATTTTTATTTGGTTCTCACCTGGTGCAAGCTATTTGGGTGCTACAGTTTTATTCTCCATGAGAGTCTAACAAACACCAGCCCAGTGCAAATACCAGCTGCATTCTGGGAAACAGGGGCTTCAGCTCCCTCTACCCCTCCCTGGCTTTGTAATTTTTACAAGTGGGCACTTTCCTCCCTCCCTCCATCCCTCCCTCCCTCCCTTTCTTCTTTCTTTTGTTCTTTCTTCTGTGTTGTTTTTTTAGGCAGGGCTTCTCTGTATAACTGCTCTGGCTTTTGTGGAACTAGCTATGTAGACCAGGCTGGCCTCAAACTCACAGAGATCTACCTGCCTCTGCCTCCTGAGTGCTGGGATTAAAGATGTGAGCCACCGACACCCAGCTTCTTCTTCTTCTTCTTCTTTTTTTTAAGCTTATTTAATTTTATTTTATGGGCATTGGTGTGAGGTTGTCAGATCCCCTGGAACTGGAGTTACAGACAGTTGTGAGATGCCATGTCAGTGCTGGGGACTGAACCTGGGTCCTCTGAAGAGCAGCCAGGGCCCTTAACTGCTGAGCCATTTCTGCAGCCCTGAGACAAGCACTTTTATCACCAGAGGAGGGGAGGCTGGAGTGGATCTATGAAAGAACAGGAAGGAAGGATGTATGGATTTTTCAGGGAGGATGCAGACATCAGAGAGGCCCGAGTGTGGAACAGAGACTTTGCAGGGGCTTTAGAAGGTCCTCATGGGGAGTGGCAGCTGGCGCTCTGATCCTCTACCAAGTGGGGGCCTAACACTGAAGGCTAGAACAAAGTGTGGAAGCCAAAAGGTCCTTGGGTCCCATTGTTAGAACACACAGACAGCTTGCTTGTTTCTGTACTGGTTTCTATGTTTAAAAATAAAACAAACCAACCCAGCACTCAGGAGGCAGAGGCAGGTGTATCTCTGTGAGTTCAAAGCCAGCCTGGTCTACAGAGTGAGTGACAGGATAGACAAGATTGTTTCGAAGAGAAATCCTATCTCAAAAAACAAAACAAAACAAAACAAAAACAAAAAACAAAAAAACCAACAAACCCAAAACAGACAAAAGCAGGCTGCACCTGCTAGCCAGCGCTCAGCCAGCGGCCCTGTGCTGAAGGTATTAACTGAAGGAAAAGGAGAGCCTGGGGCTCCACCCTAGGTGGGAACGGCGGTTCCACACAAGTGGAGTAGAAAACGGTCCGAATGAGGCTTGATTGTAGGTAAGATGCCAGGTACCCCCTTCAGGTAAAACAGTATGGGTGGGGTCAGCTGTGGATTGATACACAGGTGCCCTGGTTTTCACACAGTTTTTCACAAGTCAGTCCACCCTCCTGCCTACCCCTCTCCATGCATACATGCACATCTATCTATCTATCTATCTATCTATCTATCTATCTATCTATCTATCTTTAGCTATCTATCTATCCATCCATCTCTATCTATCTATCCATCCATCCATCCATCCATCTCTCTCTATCTATCTATCCATCCATATCTATCTATCTATCTATCTATCTATCTATCCATCCATCCATGTCCCCATTATCCCAGGTATCCAACACCCCCTCTCCTTATCAGTCCTCCTATCTTGTACCCATTCATCCATCCATATATCCATTTCCTAATCTCTTCATACATCCCTCCATCCTCCCACCCATTCACCCATCAACCTCATCTCTTCATCCACCCACCTGCCCATCTCATGTCTTCCTCCATCTACTCATCCATCCCTTCCTTCTCATCCATCAATCCCCATCCATCTCACCGTCCACGTGGTCTCTGTCCATCTGTTCATCCATCCTCCCATCCATCCCCTTATCTGTCCATGTGCTCTCTTTCCACTCGTCCACCAATGATCCATCTCCTCGTCCATCCACCCATTTGCTCTCTATCCATCGGTCTACCCTGCACCCATCCATCTGTCCATCCATATATATTCCCTCGTCTTCTGTTCGCTCATCCACCCTTTCGTCCATTTGTTCTCTACCCATCCATTCATTCCCTGCACATTCATTTATTTTACAGCAAATCTTCATGTTGAAGAAACGCTCACTTTCTCAGAAATATTATGACTCTGTCCCTTCGAAAGAATCCCAGTGATGTAGAAGGCCAGTTTTTGTAGTGTGCTATCAAGAGCAGGAAACCGCTTCACCCTTCCTTGGGCTAGGGATGGGGCTAGGGGCCTCAGAACTCCGGATACCTCTCAAACTCCTGCACCCTGCACCCTTAGGGTTGAGCTGCCTTCCCGGTTCCTTCTCAAATCCGGGGCGGACCATTCAAACTGCAGGGCGCGTGCCTCAGGGGAGCCCCCTGAGTGTGTGCTCTGTGGCTAGCCCTGAGTCATCTCGGCACGCGGTGGCCCCTTCTCTCTTAGGCTTCACAGGGAAGCAGATCGCTGCATCACAGGTGGTAAGGGGGGAGGGAAGAATTAGGGCTGAACCCGAGGAAGGCGCAGCCACATTAGAAGTGATTTCACCGTGGGAGGCAGGGTGCCGGCAGGTGGCCAGGCGCTGGAGCTATCAACTCCGGGAGCCAGGATGAGCGCCCTCCGTGCCACAATGGGATTGCTGTTCCTGGGGATGCTTCGAGCCTTCCCAAAGGTAAGGAGATAACAGTAGCCCACAGGCAGTGGCTGGGGCAGGGGAGGAGAGGGCATTCTGGAGTGAGGGGGCGCAGGAGGCAACTGTAGTATACGAGTATCCACAGGTGGGTGGATAACTGAAGGGCAAGCTTAGAGCTTCTTCTCTTCACACCCGTAGGTAGTAGATGGCTGGGAATACTTCATTCATTCATTCTCCATAATTTGAATCGGGGCAAGAGAAAGCTGTTCGTGTCCCCTAACTGCAGGTTGCAGGGTCTCTCTCTCTCTCTCTCTCTCTCTCTCTCTCTCTCTCTCTCTCTCTCTCTCTCGTGTGTGTGTGTGTGTGTGTGTGTGTGTGTGTGTGTATTGGGGTCCTGGATAGATGAAAAGAAACCTGTGTGGACCATTTTGGCTGGAGGATGAGATCGGGCTGTTGGTGCCTCAATATAAGCTGGAAGATCTCAGGAAAGAGAGGAGGGAGTGGATAAAGAGCAGAGAAAAAGGTCTGGCCAGCTGCTGGTGTGGGCTGGGGACCCTGGAGCACATGGTGAACGCTGGTCCCTGAGGAACGTGGTATCTCTGTCTCCCGGCAAGAGTCTGGGAAATGAGTTAGGAAAACTGGACGCGTCCTAGAAGCCAACACCACACTGGGCATTAGGGTGTAGGAAGGATGGGTCAAGTATAACCTACTACGTGGAGCCCAGGGTCTGCATGAAGGAAAAAGGGTCCATGGTTGACTGGAAGCTGGGGGAGGGACAGTAGCCGGCTGGTGTGGGCATGAGCTGTGTGGAGAGAGGCTGGGCTGCTGGCATGAGGGAGATGGTGGGAAGGTGGCCCTTCCATCTCCAGTGGGCAGTGTGACACCTGCCCTGGAGAGGCAGAGGTGAACAGGGGTCTCCTCACTCCCTCTCCCCCACACCCAAGCCTTCATCTGGGGGAGGTAAGAGTTCGGAGCCACAGGACCCCCAGAGACGAAGGGAAGAGAGCGCTGTGTAAGCGCAAAAGCTTGGCCAGTGTGTGAAGCCCATCTTCTCCCTTTATTCTACAAAGTGGGAACTTTCTTGGTTAGAGGCAGGAACACTCAAGTGTATGTGGAGGTCAGAGAACAACTAAGTTGAGAGTTGGTTCTCTCCTATTTTAACCAGTATGAGAAACATATACAGAATGACATCTCCCATCACTCCTTTGACCATGAGGGCTCCGGGAGTAGAACTCAGGTCATAGGCTTGGCAGCCGGCACCTTTACTTGTGGAGCTATCATCACTCAGGCCCACAATAACCCTTTTGAAATTAAAATAGACAACGTGCTCAATACCATCAGAAATATGCAAAAAAAGCCCCCAAAACTATAAATGCTATGATAAAGCCAATTCCTTTACACAGTTCCTCCCAAGCTGCAACCGAGCTCCTGCCTTACTATTTCATTTACAGACTTGTACAGATGCATATCTCTATTTGGGTCACTTTTTACCAAAATATATTGGGGGGGGTTCGGGAGAGAGAAGGGAGGTAAGGTCTCATGTAGTTCAGGCTGACTTCCAACTTGCTATGTAGCCAAGGATGGTCTTGAACTGGTCCCTCCTCCTGCCCCCTCCCCTCCTGGTTACTTAGATCCCATGTTTGATGTATACAGTATGTGAGGTTGAGCCCAGGGCTTTGGGTGTGCTAGGCAAACACAGTTTGTCTTTGTTTTGAGATAGGGTCTGTGTAGCTCAGGTTGGTCTTGAACTCTCTTGTAGTCAAGGATGTCTGCAAATACCTAATTTTTCTGCTGGTACCTCCAGAGTGCTGGGTATATTACAGTCATGCACCACACCCAATCCTAACTCTTCATTGGGCTTTTACAGGGTCTCCAGTAGGTCTTTGAGAGTAGAGCATCTGCCCATTCACATCCCTGGTGCATAGACAATGGGGTTCCCACCACTGTTTTTTGTTTTGTTTTTATGAGAGAGGGTCTCAGTGTGTCATCCTTGTTGGCCTGGAAGTGAATGTATAGACCAGGCTGGCCTTGAACTGAGACATCTGCCAGCCTCTGCCTCCCAAATGCTGGGAGTAAAGGTGTGTGCCACTGAGTGGCCCCATCATTGTCCTTTATGTGTTTGCTGTCTGGGGAGTAAGGGTGGTTCTTTCCTAGAGAAGAGACGACAGGGCAGACGTGCACTGGAGTGAAATGACACGCTGTCCAGTGTGCTGGGCAATGTCTTTTCTCACAACAGTGTAAGACAGTAGCAGCTTCCCACATCCTAACCGACGCTTGATCTTATCAGTCTCTGTTTTGTGGTCTTGAAAGGGACTGTATCCTTCTTATGCTAATTTGCATTTCCCAGTGACTGTAGGCTGAACATCAAATCTCAAATCTGTGGGCCTTTCATGGCAGGACCTGGGGTGTCTGTGGAGGAGGAGCTGCCTGCCCAAGAAGATTCTTCATTCTGGTCCCTCAAGACTTCTGTCACCTTTCCTGTCCAGTTGAGGTTTGAACTCCTATTTAAAATCAACAATAACAAGCAAACAAAAAACTATTTAAAGCTGGGCATAGTGATGCATGATTTTAATCCCAGCACTTGGGAAGCAGAGGAAGATGGATCTCTTAAAGTTCAAGGCCAATTTGGTCTATATTAGCCAGGGCTTATATAGAGAGACCCTGTCTCAAAAAACAAAAGCCAACAATCAAACAACACCCCCCCAAAAAAAAAAAACTATTTTAAAAAGCTGGGCACTATATGCCTGGAATCCTAGCACTTGGGAGGCTGAGGCAAGAAGGCTCAGAAAGCTAAAGGTAAGACTGACAAGATGCCTCAGCAGGTGAAGGCACTTGCCACCAAGCCTGACAACCCCAGTTTGATTCCCAGAACTCACATGTTGGAAGAGAAAACTAACTCTTGGGCATTGTTCTCTGATCTCCACATGTACATGGTGGCTCATGTGTGAGCATGCACACACACATATGCACATGCACTCTCTACATACATACATACATACATACATACATACACACATGCATACATACATTTCCAAGGTAGTCTGGGCTACATAGAAAGTTCCTGTCCTTAAAAAAATTTTTGGGTCTGGAATTTCAAATCCTTTTCCCAATTCCTGCTTTTTCTCAACTTTTGTCGCTTGGTGACAGTGTGTTTTCTGAGAAGGAGATGAGCCTTGTTTTGTAATATTCTCAGGGACTCATGTGGCACAACTCCAGAAAGACAGAGTTCCCCCTGGTTCCATTCTTTTCCTCCAGGCTCCCTGAGATGGTATAGTGTCCTGACTTCTGGTGAATTCCATGGGTTTAGAATTCCCCTCACGTCTTCCCAGATACCTCCTGCCCCCAGCTCCAGCCTGATTGTCCTCCTCCATCAGGTTCTCATAGGGGAATTCTCATGAATGAGTCTTTGCATCATACAGCCTGCTACTTGGCTCCCATTGGTGGAGCATGCCCAGTGGGTGTAAAGATGACTCTGGTACACAACTTAGGGCAGAAGAGCTATCTTGGATCCTGTGGGAAAAGTGACTTCCAGACCCTGTCAAATTCTGCCTGGAGCCAGAATTCCACGGGATGCCCCAGAAAGGGTGGGCCCAAGGAGACTGGCTTCTCTCTCTCTCTCCCTCTCTCTCTCTCCCTCCCTCTCTCTCTCTCTCTCTCTCTCTCTCTCTCTCTCTCTCTCTCTCTCTCTTTGGACAGGGTTTCTTGGTATCTTTGAAGCCTGTCCTGAAACTGGCTCTGTGGACCAGGCTGGCCTCCAACTCACTGAGATTCGCCTACCTCTGCCTCCCGAGTGCTGGGATTAAAGGTGTGCACCATCACCACCACCCAGCTGACTATGGCTTCTGTTAATTAAAGGCTGCCTTCCTGGATTGAGATAGATGCTTCCTCAAGAGCTCAGAGGCCACTGCAGAGCAGCTGCATTACTCAGGTTGAGAGCAGTTCTGCTGGGACTAGGACAACACTTACTGGAAGTTTCTGCAGCTTCCACTCATATCTGACCCAAGGCCTTCATGAGAAGATGTGATTCATTTCTAGGTCTGCACATAGTGGCATCTGCTGCATCTCAGGACAGAAGGAAGGTTGGCGAGCCCCTGAGGCTGGGAGTCCTTGCATGGGCAGCTTAGCCTAGTTCGGGCCGGTGGGATTCTGTTGAACTGTGCCCTGACCTTGGGGATGGCCTAGCTAAGACCAGTTTGTAGTTTTCCAAGTAGTGGAAGTACCTGGCTGAACTTGCAAACAGGGCAGCCTTTCAAAGGACACACACACACACACACACACACACACACACACACACACACACACGGAAAGGGAGAGATCTGTCCAAGAGATTAGCAGAAGATCGTGGCCTCAGGAGTGGGGGGTGAGAAGATGGTCGTGGGTGTGGCCAGCTCAGAGCCAGCAAGGAGGGAGCACCCTAAGGAGGAGTTAAGGGAGGAGTTGATTGTGCAGACCTCAGTGGGCTGTGGCCCCACTATCACTGGGTAGCCCAATCAGATGTCACGTCGTTCTTAGCAACAGGAGCCAGCGATTGCAGCTGTCAGGAGAGGGGCAAGCAGGGGTGGGGTTGGGGGGATTCTAGCTGTTTCTGGGGGTAGGCGCCTGGCTGGGTGGTGGGGGAAGCCTGAGGACACACAGCAGGTGTTTGAGAGGAACACAAATTCTAATTTTGCCCAAGTTCGGGTGTCAGGTGGGGTATTCAAGTGTGGACGTTTCAAGAAACTTCAGTTTCTGAGCTAGATCTCTAGTACCAGAGTATCTACAGAATTCCTAGTGCATTCTGGGCCACTGCTAGCAGCATCAACCCTTCTCACTGGAATTGTCTTACTTACTAAGGTGGGTGGCCTAAGAGTCCATGTATTTTAGATACCTTTCAGCCTATTGTTTCTTTCCAGCTCAGGGGGTAGCATCTCTCCCTCTTTGTCTCTCTGTCTCTGTCTTGCATGGGCATGTGTACATATGCTTGCACTTTCAATGACTTATTTTATGTGTGCTGGGGTTTTGCCTGCATACATGTTTGTGTACGGGTGTCAGATCACCTGGAACTGGAGATACAGACAGGTGTGAGCTGCCTTGTGGGTACTGAGAACTGAACCTGGGTCCTCTGGAAGAGCAGCCAGGGCTCCTAACTGTTGAGCCATCTCTCCAGCCAGAGTTAGGCTCTTTCATCAGCCTGGTGACATTGTATTAGCTTCCTCTTGCTACTGTAACAAACTGTTACAGATTTGGTGGCCAGGAGTCACAGGGTGTATTATTTAATGGCTCTGCAGAGTGGGAGGCTGAAAGGGGTGGGGGTCTCAGAATGGTGTTTCTGTTAGAGAGGCTCAGGGGCCTCCTTGTCCTTCCCAGGCTTTCTCTGTATTTCTTTGGAGCCTGTCCTGGCACTCACTCTGTAGACCAGGCTGGCCTCGAACTCACAGAGATCTGCCTGCCTCTGCCTCCCGAGTGCTGGGATTAAGGGCCTGTGCCACCAATGCCCAGCTCTGCCTGTCTTGTCTAAAGCCTTTTCATCTCATCAGGTCCCAAGGAGGCGAGCTAAGCTTACACTAACAATCTAGACCTGACCAGGTTCCTTGAGAATTACACTAATGTCTTCTAATACTTGACAACTTCCTACCAGCTTCCTCTTTCTCTTCATCTGCCTCCCTGCCTCCCTGCCCACAGTCTAGGCTGCCTGATAACTCACTATGAAGCCACAGCTGGCCTTGAACTCCAAATTCTCCTTCCCCTAACCCCCAAGTTCTGGAATCACAGGCATGTGTCACCATCCCAATTCTTTATTTTTTTTTTTATTAAGTTTACTCAGTTTCCCCTTCTTTCCCTCCTCCCCCACCTCCATAATTCTTTCTTTTTGATTGCAGCCATTTATTTGTGTATATGTCTGTGTGACCATGAATGTAATGACATGCATGTGGAGGTCAGAGGACAAGTTCCAGGAGTTGGTTCTTTCCTTCCACTGTGTGTGTCCTGGGAACGTGGTGTCATCAGTCTGGGCAGCAAGCACCTTGACATACTGGGGACTTCACTCATGCCAAGACTACATGAACCCTGAAGTGGGAGATCCCTGGGAACTGCGAGGGTGGGCTCTGTCCAATGTCACAAGTCCTTGCAGCTAAGAGTTTACAGAGGATGCGGAAGAGGAGATATGTGTGTGTTTGAAGACTTGGCCTGCCATTGCTTGCTCTGCAGTCGGAGGTAGTAAGTGCTTTTTGTAACAAAATGCAGGAGGCTGAGCACTTCAGAGGGGTTTTATTTGGGGCTGGTGTTTATTGTACAAGCCTGATGTCCCAGAGCCAACACAGAAGCATGAGCCTGTAAGCCCAGATGAAGCCGAAGGTGGGGACAGGGATCTACACAGCAGAAACAATGAAAGACCCTGCTTTGAAAAGGGAAGGAGGAAGTAGAGAATCAACTCTTGAGAGCTGTCTTCTTCCCTCCCCAAATGCGTTGTGCATGGGTACACACACGTGTACACACACACACACACACACACACACACATACTCACATACACTTTCAAACACATGGACACACACATACACACACTCTCATATGCATACACACACGGAGGCATCATCATCAGTATTTTAAATGTGAAACACCTTTAAAAAAGAGGTTTCTGGGCTGGAGAGATGGCTCAGCCATTAAAGGCTAGGCTCACAGCCACAAGAGGAGGTTTTCATTGGCTCCTGATTATGGGGTCTGCAAAGTCTGAACAGTTCGGTACTAGCACCCTATGGAACGGAACTCAGCCACTTTGGTAGTGGCTGGAGAGATACTCAGTGGTTAAAAGCAGATGACCAGGGTTCGATTCCCAACAGCCACATGGTGGCTCACAACCATCCATAACTCAAGTTCCAGGGGATCCAATGCCCTCTTCTGATCTCACCGCACCAAGTACACGTGGTACATATACTGCACGCAGGCAAAACAGGTACACATAAAATAAAGTGACTATATCTAAAGAAATAAAAAGCTTTTGATGGTAGCCAGACCCAGTGGTATAGGCCTGTAATCGCAGCTACTACTCTGGAGGCTGATGCAGGAAGATCACAAGTTCAAGGCCTGCCTGGGAAACTCAGTGAGACCTTCAAAGTAAAAACAGAGGATAAACAAGGGGATTGGGGATGTAGTTCTGTGGTAGGTTGCTTGCCCAGCATGCACCAGGCCACAAGTCCTTCTCATGTACCACAGAAACAAAGGCAATAAAGCAAAGATCTTTCAGGGCTGGAGAGATGGCTCAGTTGTTAAAAGGCTAGGTTCACAATCCAAAGCAAGGACCTTTCTGGTGTCTGTATTGTGAGTGGGGACAGGGTGAGTATGAGAGGACCCTCAGATGGCAGGAAGGTGAGGAGGAGCTGGTGGACTGGGGTCAGGTGAAACTGCAATTCAGGTAGAGGCGGTGGCAGGTGGAAATGAGGGAGAAGGATGCATTTCACATTGCAGCCAGAGTCTGGGGCGGTAGGGATAGCAATGGGGGTCTCAGAGCACTGGGTGCAGCCATACCTACAGCCAAAGTAGCCAAGCCTGTGGGTAGGCGCATCCGCAAGAGGGGTTCCAGTCCTGTCTGCAACATTTAGAAACAGTTCTCATATATCCCAGCTTGGCCTTGAACGCTCCATCTGTAGCCCCAGTGCTGGGATTACAGGTATGGACTACCACACCTAGGTTACGTGGAACTAGGGCTAGAACACAGCCCTTTGTGTACAGTCCCTCTACCAACTCAGCTACATCCCAGCTCCAGTGGAGTTTCTTAGTTTCCCTGCATCTCCAGTTCCCTCACATTTAAAATGGGTGAAGTTGGGCTTTTCCTGGGGGTGGGGCAGCATTTATAACTCTTTCCAGTCTGTCTCATGCTTTCTTTTAATATTAAAAACACAAACAGAACCTTATGTATATGTATACATCAGAGCCCTTGGAGTTGGAGTTTCAGGCAGTTGAAAGTTGCCTAGTGTGTGTCCTGGGAATTGAACTTGGGTCTTCCAAGAGAGCAGCAAATCCAGGTGACTGTTGAGCTCTCTCCGGCCCCGCTTTTCACTTGGAAGCAAATGCAGGCTCTCATTCAGTTAATTCTGCCAGGGTGGTGCCTGAAAATCCCGGTAGACAACATCAATAGCTGCTCATCACCTTGACTACTGGGGTGTTATTGCATAGAGGTCGTGGTGAGGGAGCCTCACCTCTTCAGTTCTGCCCAGGACTGGCCCTTTTGGGGATTTTGCCTTGACGGTGACTTAGTTCCCACAGGTACGGCCCAGCTGTTCTTTCTCTCTCTCTCTATTGGTTGATACCAGGTGGGACTTTCTAAAAGTGAAATTTACCAGATCTGCTAGAGAAAACCAAACCAATTTGAAAATAGTCCCAGCGATGGTGAGGTTTTAGGTTACTCTTGTCATTTTAGGACTGCCCAGGTAGGGCCTCTCAGCCTCTGGTGGCATAACTCGGCACTCTGTGGACATGTCACTTTGCTTTGAACCTATGGGAACCCCACCTAAAAGCATCTGCCCCTTGGTCCTTGGCCTTCCCCCACCTACTCTTCCCTTCTGACCCCCCCTCTTCCCTCGCAGGCAAAGGCCAGAGCCCAGCTGCCCTGTCGCGCCCCCTCCACCAACCCCTTAAAGGACACTGGGATTGACCAGCTGTCTGGGCCCATCTCCACTGACAGTGGTGGGCCCTACAGTTCAGAGGGTAGGTAGGACACAAACAGACACTGAAGCTGGTGCCACCTCTCTGCCAGGGCACCTGGTGGAGGTCAGAGGACAGGTTAGGACTCGGTTCCACCATGTGTGTGCTGGGGCTCAGAGTCAGGAGGTCAGATTCTGCAGCAAGCAGCACATTTACCCCTGAGCCATCTCATCAGCCATTACAAGACTGCATTAACTTAACCCAGTGTTCCCGGCTCTTCCAAAGTGATGAGAATGGGCAGCAAAGAATTCTCTGAGGCTCTGTGGGAGAAGGCTGGCTCCGTGGCCTGGGAGCATTCCAGGTGGGCTTTGGAGCTAAGCTGGACCTCCTCTTGTCTTCCCCTTACATCCCTAGGAATGGCTGGAGGAGTCCCTTTGTGGGACTAGAACTAGCTCCTCTCTCCCTAAGCCCTGCTTGGGGCTCCCTCCGTGGGGCGCTGATGCTTCCCTGGACAGTGAGAAGATAGCGCACCCTGCTGGCAGGTTGTGAACTTACTCAGAATTTTAGAAAAGAGACCCTCCCCCCCCTCAACACCCTGAGCTTGTTATTCGGGTGAAATGGTTTACTGCATTCAGGCATGGTGACATCCATCTAAATCCCTGATACTCAGAAGAATGAGACTTTTGTTCATAACCAGTCTTGGCTACTTAGCATGGCCCCATGTCAACAAAGCAAAGCAAAGCAGATAGCCTGCATTCTAATTTTACCAGTCATTCAAATAGTGCCCGTTAGAGTGATCTCCGCCCTCACATTTCTTAGCAGCACACAATTCAGACTCTGAGGTTTGTTCATTTGTTTAATGGTGCTGGGCTTAAACTCAGCCTCACTTATTCTAGACAGGCACCCTACCACTGAACTTATATCCCCAATCCCCTGCTCCCATCCCCAAGTCCTTTTGATATACAACCTCACCTTATCTGCACCGTATCAGCCTGTACTCAGGCTGGACTTGAATTTGTGATCCTCTTGCCTCTGTGCTGGAACAACATGCATGAACTTTAAAAGAAAACAAACAAAGAAACAAACAAAAAACCCTTTGAGACAAGGTCTTAGTAGCCCACAATGGCCTTAAACTTGATATGTAGTTGAGGAAGACCTTGAGTCTACAGCATCTGCCTCTAGAAAACTGGACTACCAGCTGACATTTTTATTATTATTTATATGAATCAACTGATGTGGATCGAGGACTTGAACTCCGGTCCTTATGATAGAGTAGTAAGCACCCCCCCCCAGCAGTTTCTCTGTGTAAAAGCCCTGGCTGGCCTTGAACTCAGATATCTGCCCACCTCTACGTCCCTCTGAGTGCTGGAATTAAAGGCGATGTCACCACCACCTGGCTGAGTTGTAAGCGCTCTTGAGTTGAGATGACTCCTCAGTATCTGTACTGACATTTAAGAATGTGTAAACTGTAGAAAGTCCCTTAATTTTGGATCATGATTTGATATGGGCTATGGGGTGATGTGTTGCCCTTTCTGGTACGTTGGACTTTTTAAAGATAGCCTGTGGCTGAGAAGGGAAATCATAGAGACGTGGTGGGGCTCCAACCATGGCTCTTGGTTGCCGTGTGAGTTTAGGCAGACAGCAGTGTCTCTCTGGGTTGTAGTTTCCTTATCCGTAGAGCAGAAGTTGACTGAAAGCAGGCTGCATTTGCAGGAATGATACAAGGTACCACACACCTCCACTGAGCAGGTAAGGACACAGACAGAGACGAAGACAGGTGGCTCTCAGATGTTCGAGGCCTAGGGCCATACTCTCTCAGACTCCTGAGCTATCGGTGAGAGGATGAGGGGACCAGAGGGAAAACCCAGGGCAAGGACACAGAACTTTCCCACACTCTGAAGGGCCCCGTGGGGCTGAGCCCCAACAGCTCAGTTAGCTCTACCTCAGGGAGGTGCTGCTGGGTTGCTGCCTGGAGGCTCCTGGGAGCCCTCAGCGACCTGAGAAGAAAGGCTGCTTGAAGGAACCTGGACGGAATGATAGCAGAGACAGCCTGTATCTCCCAAGTGTGCTGTGCGAACGGTTCAGCGCTCAGAGCTGCTGCAGTTGGAACTCAGGCTTCACACGTGTGAGGCAAGCACTCAACCGCTGAGCTAAAGCCAGCCTTAAATGTACGTTAGGCTATATTTATCATTTCAAGTGAGTATGGTGACATGGTTTCAGATGTGTCAAAAAAAAAAAAAAAAAAAAGATGTAATTAGCACCCACATCCCCACCTTCCAGCCACAATGACCTTGGTGTTGCTTGCTAAAGCTTCCAGAAATACCATTCTCTCTCTCTCTCTCTCTCTCTCTCTCTCTCTCTCTCTCTCTCTCTCTCTCTCTCTCTCTCTGTGTGTGTGTGTGTGTGTGTGTGTGTCTCCCCCAGGCTGGCAACATTGGGGGTGTATCTTCTCAAGATTAACCTAATCTAGAAAATTCCTTTCAGGTGTGCCCAGAGGCTTATCTAGATCCCATTAAGTTAACCATGACAAAGCCCATCCACCGTGGGGCTTATGGTTCAAAGAACTCTAGAAAGCTACAGGAGTTGATTTCCAAGAATAAGTGAGGCCAGTGTTACTCATGATAGAAATGCAAAAGAAGCCATAACACCGTGCCTCCACCAAAGCTCCACTGCAGCTTAAAAAAGGCTTTCAGGAACTGGCATGCATGGTTAACTGGCATACATCATTGATTGCTAGCAAGCATGCAGGACAGATGGCAGCCTCACGCACAGCAGCTAAGTGACAGCAGGGTGCAGGTACTTGAAAAACTCAGATGGAGAATCAGGCTAGGGGTGTGGTTCGGTTGGTAGAGTGTTCCAGCCCCAGCATCAAACTGAGTGAGGTGGCACATGCCTATAATTCCAGAGCTTGGGCGGTAGGGACAGGAGGACCAGAGGATCAAATTATCCTTGGTTAGTGATGAATTTGAGGCCAGCCTGACCTACGTGAAAGTTTTCCTAGAAAAGAAGGGGGTCAGGAAAGCAAAGAAGGAAGTAAACTGGATTCCGGTATATCAGAGCTGTCACTCATTTCACTGTAGCTGTGTGTAGAAATAAGCACATAGTCTAGCATTTCCCTTTAATCCCAGAGCTCAGGAGGCAGAGGCAGGTGGATCTTTGTGAGTTCAAGGCCAGTGTGGTCTACAAAGAACTTCTAAGACAGATGCTCTGCTACACCCATAGATGGGTGCCTAGTCCAGCCATCACCAGAGAAGCTCCAGCAGCTGATGGGAGTGACTGCAGAGATCCATTGTCAAACATCAGGCAGAGAGAGAGAGAGAGAGCCCAGGTTGGAGGTCTCCACTGGGTTCCTCAGGTTGGAGATTGGGAAACTCCGAAGAGGGGGAGGAGGAACTGTGGGAGCCAGAGGGGTTGAGGACACAGGGAGAGCATGCCACAGAATCAACTAAGCAGGGCTCATAGGGACAGGAACGGTAACTGTGAAGCCTGCATGAGTCTGCGCTAGGCCCTCTCTGTATGCCTTATGGTTGTTGGCTTGGTGTTTGGGGGGGGGGACTCCTGATAGTGGAGTTGGGGTATCTCTGACTCTTTTGCCTGCCACTGGGATCCCTTTTCTTGCTTTGCCCACCCTTGATGTGAGAGTTTGTGCCCAGTCTTGCTGCATCTTGTGCCGTCTGGTTGATGTCCCTGGGAGGCCTGCTCTTTTCTTGGAGCGGGGTGGACTGAGAGAAGTTGGGGGAGGGAAGCTGCAATCTGGATGTATTGTATGAGAGAAGAAGAAATAATAATGATAATAAATAATTTTAAAAAGACACTCTGGGAGCTGGAGAGATGACTCAGAGGTTAAGAGTACTACTGGCTCTTCCAGAGGTCCTGAGTTCCAATTCCCAGCAACCACATGGTGGCTCATAACCATCTGTAATGAGATTTGGTGCTTTCTTCTGGTGTGTAGGCATACATGTCAGAACACTGTGTACATAATAAATAAACAAATCTAAAAAAATAGATATTCTAAGTCAGGGCTACGTATAGAAGAAAACTTGTCTTTAAAAAAAATGCCAGGTGTTAGTGGCACACGATATATAGAAAAACCTTGTCTCAGAAAAAAAAAAAAAAAAGCAGGATTAAATGCCCATCTAGAGTAAAACAGACATACATTGGCTGTATTGCAAGGCCATGGGCATTAGTGACTTCCAAAAAAGTGAATGAGTCTTAAAACTTAATGCTGAATAAGATGCTGATTGTAGGGATTTGGGGAGATGGCTCAATGGGGAAGAGAGGGTGCTTCATGACAGAGGGTCTGGGTTCAGATCCCGAGAACCCATTTAAAGAGCTGGGTGTGGCCTCCAGTGCCAGGAGCTCCATTGCTATGGGAGGAGGAAACAGGAAGATTGTTGGGGCCTGCTGGGTGTTGACCTGGCTTTGGGCTCAGTGAGAGACCATTTCTCATGGGAATGAGGTGGACAGTGATAGAGCTGGACATGTGATGTACTCCTCTGCCTTCCACACACACACATGCACACGCATGCACGCACGCACACATGCGTGTGCACACATGCACACAGATTTTAAAAAGCAGCTGGCTATAGAAGTGAATGTGAGTAAAGCAAAGAGATGTAAACATGTTTGCATAATGAGACATTTTATTTTCTTTTTCGTTCTAGTTTTGAAACAGGTTCTCACAATGTAGTCCCGGCTAGCCAGGAACTCAGTATGTAGACCAGACTGACCAGACTGACTTTGCAGCTTGTCTCTGCTTCCTGAGTACTGGGAGGAAAGTGTGTGTCACCATGCCCCCCCCCCAAAAAAAAACCATTATTTCGTACACTATTTTTTTTTTAAGCCAGTTGCAAAGGAAAAGACTGAGCAGTTTGACCTGTGTCAAATTCAAGAGCAGACAGAACTTATTAGTGGACCCAGAGGTTAATGCTCTTCCTAGAGGGGCGTCTGAGCATGCCCGGTGAGACCAGCTGCAGCCACGGCTGATGGCCTGAGGTGGCTGAGAGAATTGCCTGGTGCGTGTGTCTGGGGAGGGTCGGGGTGACTGTGAGCTGAGGAGGGCATGAGACTCCTGGGTGCCCCACCTTCGCCTAAGCCACTCCGTGGGGAGATGTCAAGTCAGGGGTTCTCTTCCTGACCTCTGTGACAATAGGTCTCAGTCTGGCCTTGGCAGTGAGTGGCCACCAGGCCTCTTGGGACAGCAGGGTGGCATTGAGAGTAGAAGTCTGGCCTTGCCCCATCAGTTTCTCTGACCCTCCAGGATCGACTACTCAAGACCACGTGTGCTGGAGACCCCAGTTACTACCCTGGGGAGGCTGCTGGGAGCTGCTGTCACCGTTGCCCCTCAGGTGAGTGGGGCAGTCCTCGTGGGGGACTGGTGACAAGGTAGGGGTTGGGGAGGGCTGGATAGAAGCTAGCAAACATGGTCACGGTCAGGGTCATGGGCATGGTTGGGTACAGGTGTCCAAGGGCCATCCCTAATGTCACAGGGATGAAGACATCACCACCTCCTCACCCCCACCCCCGCCACCAAGGTTTTGGTGTTGCCTATGCAGGTGTTTGTGAGCCACCATGTGAGTGCTGGGACTTGAACCTGGGTCCTCTGCAAGAGCACCAATTGCTCTTTTAACCACTGAGATATATCTGTGGCTGTTCTCTCTCTTTCTCTCTCTCTCTCTTAGTTTGTCTCACAAAATTTCCCTTCAAGAGCATCAATTACTTTTTTAACTACTGAGATATAATCTGTGGTTGTTTCCTCTCTCCCTCCCTCCCTCCCTCCCTCCTTCCTTCTTTTCTTCCTCCCTCCCTCCCTTCATCCCTTGTCTCACAGATTTTCCCAGGCTGGCCTTGAATTCAGTTTGTAGCTCAGGTTGAGCTTGAACTTGCCATCCTCCTGTCTCAGCATCTTCAGTGCTGGGTCTGTGGTACACCACCTCTCCCTGACCTTTCCCGTTCTTGTCTGCTCTAGGTCAGGACATGTGTTTGTCCCAGGGTGCTCCGGGCTGTATCTTTCTGTGGAACAGGGCTTGCCTAACCACTGCTAGCTTTCTGGAATGCTCACCCATTCCTAGCACAACAGGAGTTCTGGTAGAAGGCCAGGAAGTCCTTCTGGAACATTCCTCAGGCTTGAAGACTAGAAAAAGGTTATGAAGCATTTTGGTCCCCTGTGACTATGATCAAAAGTCCCAAACACATGTGAGGGCCATTGGTGGCTGGGGTATGAGGGGAAGCTGTGGTGTGGTCTCTGAGCTCCAGAAATAGATGTCTATTTGGAAGAGAGACACTAGCTATAAAAAATGAGGGTGGGAAGAAGTCTCTAGCTTAGTGTAACTGGCCCCTGCTTTTAGGACAGCAAGGCATTGGAGGCATGTCACTGTGTCTGGAGGGCTTCCTGTGGGTAGGGAGTAGCAGGCTTATGTACCCACCATTGACTCTTCCCAGGCACAGTGTCTGGAGGTGGGGACAGGCAGTACTATACAAGGTCACTGGGGAAGTGCCTGGGGTTGAAGATTCTTGGCCAGTTACTCTTAGGTCTGTGCTATCTGAATGCCCCATGAGATGGGACTCCAGCCTTGCACAGGCTACCAGAGGAAGTATCTAATGGTGTCTATTCCCAAAAACAAATTCAAAATGTTTTTGTGGGGCTCGGTGATTAAGAGCATTGCCTGCTCTTCCAGAGGACCCAAGTTCAGTTCCAATACCCCCTTAGGCAGCTTGAAACTGCCTGTGAACTCCAGCTCTAGGGGATCTAATGACCTCTTCTGGCCTCTGAGGGCACCCACACACATGGCATGCACTCATAAACATACATAGAGAGAATGTTCTTGTGACCAGCCTTTTATGACAGCTGGGCAGGGATCCATGTCGTTAGTCTAGGTTGGCTTTGAACTTTGTGTGTAGCAGAGGTTGGCCTGGAACTCTTGACCCATTCACCCCTGCCTCCTGAATGCCGGGATTACAGGCCTGTACCACCATACCCCCTTCTTGGGTCCTCCCCTCCCTCTACTGCCTCCCCCATTCAGCCTCTCTTCCTCTCTATTCCAGTTTGGGGTCCTCCAGGCCATTGCTTTCCTCTGGTTAGAAAATGGAGAGCCAAAGGGATTGTCCCAGCTTGCTGTCTGACCCGCCCTTTTCATGGAGGCCCTCCATCCCCGTCCTTTACCCTTAGTGAGCTCCTAAAACCGTCTCTCCAAATAGTTACACTGAAGCTAAGGGTTTCATTATGGGGTGGGTTCTAATTCACAGCATCTCCCCCTTCCTTCACGATTCTCCCTCATCCCTTTCCTCCACCCACCCACCCACCCTTCAGACCAATGGCAAGTAAATTGCCTGCTCTTGCAAGAGGTCACTCCTTCTAGCTCCTCCCATTTTCAGGCCTCTCATCCTCTGTCTGCTTCACCCCTGCGTGTCCCTTTCTGCCATCTCGCCCTGCTGCAGCACTGAGACCCCACCTCTAGGAGCCTTCCTTTGTTGCAGGGGACTGGCTCCCACGCCAAGGCGTTTTTCACCATTCTGCCCCACAGCGAAGTATGGCCACAGGGTGTTGTGACATTCCGTGGCCACAGTTTCCTCACAGAAAGGAAGACACGGGTTTTCGAGCATGATGTTTCCATCTTAGGCTTCTCTGTTTAACATCTGAAACTTAACAAAAAGTGGCTGCTCCTCCCTCCCACTTCCCCTCTCTCTCTAAGGTAGCTGAGCACCTCAGGCCTGTGTGGTGGGCGGGGCATTTTGCTGGAGTTTTATTGACCCCGTGTTTCCGGGCAAGCCACAAAGGAAAACCAAAAAACCCCTCCTTCCGTGTTTTGGGGAAATTTCTGACATTTTGCCTGCCCTCTCAAATCAGCGCTCAGCTGTGTGGCAGGGTTTGCACGTGGGTGGGCTGGGGCAGGAAGGAAACTGAGGGACCTTTGAATTTGAGAGGTCGTCCCATGTTCTCTCCTCACGTAGCCCACAATGCCTTTCGACACTCCTGACAGCTGCTGCCCAGTTCTCTGTTACACACCCTTGGTGACAAGCTCAGCCTGCCTCACACAATGACCAACAGCACTTTAGACCAGGGCACTACAGTGGAGGCCTGGCCCTTTCCCCATGTTAGAGCTCGAACCTCATAGGAACTCAGAGAGAAAGCTAGGACATGGATGGGTTCTGGGATTTGCCCACAATCACCTGCATGTAAGCCCAGCCTGGGCTAAAAGAGTCCTGAGCCTTTATTTACCCCTTCCTCCCAGGCTTTGTACAGAGTGGGTATGGGGCTGGGCCTGGCATCTCTCCAGCTTCTGTTCAGAAGTTGGCAGAATATGGGTTCAGCCCTGCAACGGGGGACTCATTGGTGGCTGGAAGCAGAGACAGCCATCCTGAAGGGTCTAGCAGTATTTCAGGGGATTCAGAGACTGAGATTTAGCTCCCAGCTGTGATTAAAGGAATATGCCACCAAGCCAGGCTCTTTAAGAAACTCAGCCGTAAAACCAGAGGCTCTAGTGTGAAAACGCTCAGAGATGGGGCATATTGGCAGATGGCCACATGCCCGGGCTGAGCCAATCACAGGTGGTGAGAAAGATGGCACGCTCTGATTGGTCTGTTGGAGTCACATGCCTATACTAAGGCAAAGGTGAGGAAAATGAAGTGTTCTGATTGGCCCGCCTAGGTCGTGTGCTCATTTTGTGACCAAGCTGTGGGAAACATACCTGAACAAACATGGCAGACTCTGGCAGAGCAGACAGAACCCTATGCAGATATCGGGGTTGGGTGGGGGGATGATGCTCATTCCTCATTTACCTCCCCCCCCTTGGCGTCGTCATCATCCTGTACCCCCAGTCCTCAAAGAATGGAAGGAAGGTCACCAGGTGATTCCAGGGCCTCTCAGTCAGCTTGGGTCAGGATCTCCGTGATCTTGACTCCCTATAGTCCCCTCGTTCCCTCAGGGACTCAGGACTTCTGCCGAGAATGACAGCCGGCACGCAGCCTGTGTTTGCTGACCTCCACAGCCGGAATCCATTCAATGCCAGGAGAGACAGATCTTGTTAGTGTGAGTGACGTCACTGCAATTGTCCAGGGCCGCCGGTTGTCAGGTGGCAGTCCAGGAATGCCAGATCCAAGTTTCCTCCTTAGTGACCTCCATCGAGGCCCGTGCCTCCATCTGTATCACGAGTTGTCTGATCCAATCATGGGTTGAAGTAGAGATGGGCGGGCCTTAAGTATGAGAGATGGATGATGGGCAGCCAGCTCATTATCAAGGTGACCTAGCCTAGAACTTTCCTGCTGCTTTTTTCCAGGGTTGTCTCCAACACAGCCGTGCCCACAGGGTCCCGCCCACTGCAGAAAGCAATGCGATCTCGACCACTATGTGAACGAAGATGGGCACTGCACAGCCTGTGTGACCTGTTTGGAAGGTAAGAACCTGTACTCTCCCCTGCAAAGTGTCTTAAAGGGGAATCTGAGAGGCAGGAAGTCTCAGGAGTTGGTCCCCTCATGCCTCACTTTACCTCTCTGGATTTGATATTGGCAGTCATCTTTTGCATCCATACTTTTCAGAGAGACCTAGTGTGCTCCCTGGAGGGAGGACTCACGTCTTCATAATGGCTCCAGGGAGGACACTTTTCTTAGCTCACTTGTGTAGAGAGGAATCTGAGCATTTATGAGGTGAAGGGCCTTCCTGGAGTTGCTAAAGTTGGTGCATGGTAGAGGCAATGTCTGGGCTGGTGACCTGGTGTCAAGAGCTGCCATTTCCCAAGACCTTCATCCTTTCCCAGGACCATGATGCTGCCAGGAAAGTCTCGAAACAGGTTCTTCTTATGTTTGCTTGTGTTTAGTGATGGGGTCTGATGTTTTCTTTTGTTTTTGTGTGGGTTTGGGGGCGTGGTTAGGTTGGAAGATGGGTTGAGATTTTCTTGAAACCTAATAATTATTTTGTGAAGTTTTCAGTGTCTTTTTAAAAAATGTAATTTGTTTGTTGCATGCAGAGTTCTTTTTATAAGATTATATATTTTTTTCTAATTGTGTGTGTGTGTGTGTGTGTGTGTGTGTTTCTGCCTCCTTGTCCTGAGTTCTGGGATCACAGGTGTGCACTGTGGTTCATGAAGGTTTTGGAGCTTGTCAACCATGCAGTGCTCTTAGCCACTGGACCATCTTTCCAGCACCCTGACCCCATCCCCATCTCCTAAAACATGGGATCTGGAGATGAAACTCAAGTCCTATGCTTACATAGCGGATGGTTTACCCACTCAGCCATCTCCCTCAGAGGGGACTTTTTTCATATTCAGGCCCCAGCACAGAGGATAAGCTAGTATGGGTATGGTGTTGCCAAGTCCACCCTTTACCCTGACTCTGCTGGGGCACCCATACTGTGGGTTTTGGCAATGGACAGTGGGTGCCTGCACCCAGAACATACAGTGCCCTTCCTAAAACTCCTCATGTTTCTGGAGTTTATCCTCCCATCCTCCCCACCGTGGCAACCACTGATGTCCCTCCTGCCTCTATAGTCTGAACTTCATTATTTTTTTTTTTAGACAGGGTTTCTCTGTGTAATCATTCTGGCTGTCCTGGAACTCACTGTGTAGCCAGGCTGACCTCAAACTCACAGAGATCCACCTGCCTTTGCCTCCCGAGTGCTGGGATTAAAAGCGTGTGCCACCACCACCCGGCAAGAGTATCATCTTTTGCAGGAATCCCATGGAATCACAGTGTAAAGCCTTTCGAGAATGGCTTGTCACACAGAGACAAGTACTTCAGTTCCCTCCATGTCCTGGGACATTATTTATTTTTTTATGTATCCACATTCATGTATGCACACATGCATGTTGTAAGTGTGGCCAGAGTTTGACACCAGCTGTCTTCCTCTTCCTCAATCCCTCTCCAACTTAGTTTTCAGACAGAGACTCTCACAGGAGTCCTCCCATTTCTGCAACAGACATGTGGGGTCCTGCTAGTTCAGCTTTTCACATGGGTGCTGGGGATCTGAACTCAGGACCTTGTGCTCGAAGAGCAAACAATTTACCCACTAAGCTGTCTCTTTAGCCCCACATTTACTTGCCTGTAACTCTTGTAGTAGCGTGAGGGATATAGGCTAGAGGCGAAAACCACCCCCACACTGGCATCTTACACATGTCAGGTGATTCAAGGAGAAGGTGGCTTACCTTCACCCCGGACTGTCCCTGTGTTCCCTTGATCCCTGCCCGTGGCTTCCTTCTCCCCTTCCATGACCCTCTCTGTGTCCTTCAGGTCTCGTGGAGAAGGCTCCATGTTCCAGGAACTCTTCTCGAGTCTGTGAGTGTCAGCCTGGCACGTACTGTAAGACACCAGCTGTCAATTCTTGTGCCCGATGTTCCTTACACTCCCAATGTTCTGAGGGCAAGGTTGTCAAGTTCCCAGGTGAGTGTCCGTTATGAGCAGTTTTCTCGCCAGCCTGGTCCCACAGCTGCATCAGCCCCAAATCAACACACAGGCACACTGTGTTAGATACAAAGCTGTTGGCCAGTTACTAGCATTTCTTATTGGCTGTCTTAAATATTAACCCATTTCTACCAATCTAAGTATATCTACATGGTCTTATCTTACCAGAGAGAGGGTCTGGACCTCTTCCTCTCTCAAGTCTCTACATTTTGACTCTCCTACTTCATCTCTCAGAATCCTCCTTGTTTCCTATCCCTGCCTATCTTGCCTTCCTATTTGCCAACAGTGCAACAGTGCTTTATTCATTAACCAATAAAAGAAACATATTTACAGAATGATATCTCCCATTATCTCCTCTTTCCTGTCTAAAATAAAAAGAAGGGTTTTAACTTTAACATAGTAAAATATATAACAAAACAGTTTTCAGATAAGAACTATAGTTAACAATATTTAGTCCATTAACATTTAGCAAGATTTAAAGAAAATATTCTATCATCTATCCTATCTTTGTGAGTCTAAAGTCTTATATGTAACTTATCTTTAATCTTAACTAATGAGAACTATAACTATAACTATCTGTTTTCAACTCTATCAAAGACCACAGAAGTATAGTATATAAACTCTAGAAATGACAGAGACATCTCACTACCTGGTCAGTCACCTGAAGTTCTTCTGTAATCTTCCATCTTTAGCCTATAGGCCATAGTGTATCTGGCAGACTCCTCAGCAAAGCAGGAAACTTTAAACTGTCCACCTGTATTGGCAGCTTGTCAGTCACTTTTCTCTGTGTCCTGCAGACTGTCTGGCAGACTCTTCCATGAAGCAGGAACCCTGTAGCAATGTCCATCTTGTTTTGGCAGTCACTTTCTTGTGGGTCCTGCATGTCCATTTTATACAGTATAAAGTCAAACAGTCCAGACAAGAGCAGTATCTTGCCCAAATGGCTAGTCTTGCCATATTGGAAGTAAACTCCATAACATGTCTCTTCGATGTCCATCTTCCTTTTTGATGCAGGTGGTGTTGCCAGGAGCAGTTATGTCTCCCTGTCAAGAAAACCCTAAACCATTTTAGATGTCATATTCTGTAGGTCTTTGAAGGGTTTGAAGAATGCCTATCCATCTCATATATATCTTGAAAACCTAAGTCTAAGTTTTGACTATCATAGGTAACTATCTATAATCTGTATTAATTTATACATTACATTTCTAAATGAGCTATATAAACATAATACCTAAACAAGAGGAAAAATATACATATCACAAAATTGACCTTAAATTTGTATCAATAAATGAAAATCCATTCCAAAATCAAGTATTTATATCTATATCATAATCTCCTTTTTTACCTTTAAAGAATTGCTTGTGATCATTAGCCATTTATAACCAAGCCCATTTAAATGAAAACAAACATTTATAGACAATATTTGGGAATTTGGGCGTCGTTCTTTCCAAACTGCTCCCTGCTGGTAGGGGGTGCTGTCATGGGGATCCTAAGAAGATGCAGAAATTCTGGCTGTAGTCTGCAAGGCTGGCTTTGTTCCAACTGTTTCAAATGTTGGATTACCTGGGACGCTGTTTCAGGGGGTCTTGCTTGATTAAATCATGTTAGTCTGGAAGGAATCCACAGCTTTTCATTTTCTGTGGAAACAAAAATAGAAATCCTTTTCCACAGTAACCTGTCCTTAGACTTAAATTTTGGAGTCAAAGCATTTTAAAAATATATAAATTTAATTAATACAGCAGCATTTCTTTTAACAGTTGTTATTTACTCAGCAGTCAAATAATTTAAAGATAACAGAACAGCATATAGTATCCACACTCTTTTTGTGCTTCCCATCTTATATGGCCTTTTTATTACTTTTTTTTTACTTTTTTTTTTGAGACAGGGTTTCTCTGGATAACATTTATCTGTCCTGGGATTAACTCTGTATACCAGGTTTCTTTGAAATCACAGAGATCTGCTTGCCTATATCTCCCGAGTGCTGGAATTAAAGGCGTGTGCCACCACTACTCTCTGTCTTTTTAAAACCATTTTATTCTTTTTCTCTCCCAAGCCTACATATATGTATATTTTAAAACACACTGTAAACCTTTAGAGGTTTTTCTTAATCTGAATCTGTTTTTACTGTAAATCTTTCTTTTTCTGGCCATGAGTCTCTCTCTGGTAAACAACAACACTGCTAAGATGAAATCCACAGTTGTTTCAGCCACAGTCTATCAAAGATGCAGCAGGTACTTTTACCGCCAGAACTGAGAGCTGTGCTCACTGCTTTGGTCTATGCTGCCATCCAGCAGCAGGTGCCGGCTTGGAGATGTGGTCACTGCCATTGCCAGCTCTCATACACACCATTACATTGTTAGCAGATCTCTTTAAAAGCCTTTTGGGTTTTTTTTTTTTTTTTTTTTTTTTTTTTTGCCACTTATGCTGAGTCAGGAAACCTCCCTTAAAGGAGCCACACAAGTCTCTGCTCGTCTCTAGCAAAGCAGAGTACAACCGAGAAAAAATGATGTTACCAAGAAACTTTGCTTGTCTCTTTTTTTTGTTTTGTTTTGTTTCTAAAACCCTTTCTTACGCTTTTCTTAAGTTTTAAGTGGAAGTTCTTTGGTCTGCGTTGGACGCCATTAAGTTATGAGTAAGGTTTTTCCCTGCAGGCCTGGACCCACTGCCACACCAGCCCCAAATAACACAGTCTCTGTATTTTATATACTGCTGGTACTAATTTCTTATCTGCTAGCTGTCTTAAATATTAACCCATTTCTATTAATCTAAGTGCTTCCACGTGGTCATATCTTACCAGAGAGGGGGGCTGGTGTTCTTTCCCACGTCTGCCATCTTGGATCTTCCCCCTACTACTTCCTCTCTCCTCCTTGTCTCCTAGTCCCGCCTATCTTCCTTTCCTATTGGCCAACAGTGCATTATTCATTAACCAATATGAGAAACATATTTACAGAATGACATCTCCCATCTTATATCATAAAATTGACCCTAAATTTGTATCAATAAATGAAAATTCATTTCAAAACAAAGCATTTATTTCTATATCATAATCCCCTTTTTACCTTAAAAAGAGATTGGTTGTGATTATTAACTATTTATAACCAAGCCCATTTAAATGAAAACAAACATTTATAGACAATATTTGGGAATTTGGGTGTTGTTCTTTTCAAACTACTTCCTGCTGGTAGGAAGCACTGTCATGGGGATCCTAAGACGCAGAAATCCTGGATGTAGTGGTCTGCAAGGCTGCCTTGTCCCAGCTGTTTTGAATGTTGGATCACCTGGGACGCTGTTTCAGGGGGTCTGGCTTGATTAAACCATGTTAGTTTGGAAGAAATCCACAGTTTTTCATTTTTTGTGGAAATAAAAATAGAAATTCTTTCCCCCAATAACCTATCCTTAGACTTAAATTTGAAGTCAAAGCATTTTTAAAATATATAAATTGGATTAATTCCTCAGCATTGATAATCAAGTGTGTTTTAGCAGTTGCTCCTTCCTTAGCAATTGAGCAATTTAAAGACAACACAATAGCATACAGTAGCCAGACTCTCTGTGTGTTTTCCATTTTTACATGGCTTTTTTATTACTCTATTTCTTCTACATAGTGGGTGGGGGTCAGCCAAAAGGGAAACACCACATTTCTGTGGGTGCAGGTGAGGCTGCAGGATGATGGTGCTCAAGCCTGGCTTTACCAACATTTGGCACCTGTGGGTGGGGCCTGTCCCCCCCCACCCATATGATGAGGAGATGGGTGGAGTCCCCTCCCCCCTCCCTGAACGCTCAAAAACTCTGTTTGAAAAATAGGTTCTGCTTAGCAGGTCAGGCTAAGTCAGATTCTTTTTTCCAGCAAGTAGGGTCAGGCTGTTTGAGTGATGTCCCCGAGACTGCCACATGGGGGCGACAGAGGCCGGTCTCTGAAGCTCTGCCATTGCTCACAAGTAGCCAATGAACACTTAAATGTAGCTGGTGGAGCCTAGTGGAACTCCTATAGTTCCAGTATTCTGGAGGCAGAGGCAGGTAGGGATCTCTGTGAGTTGGAGGCCAGTCTGGTGTACAGAGCTACAGCCAAGGCTATTCAAAGAAACCATGTCTTAAAAAAAAAAAAAAAGGTGCCTGGTTTAGGTTGAGATGTTAGGTATGTTTCAGTGAGTTTCAAAGACCTAATATATAAACAAGGATGTAATGTATCTCGTTATATTTATATTGACTAACATAGATCATTATGTTGTTAGGTTATGAGGGTTTTTTGAGATCAGATCTTATTCTGTATCCCAGGATGTCTTGTACGTCACTATGTATTGAGGCTGGCTTCAAAACCACAGCAATCCCCCTGCCTCATCCTCCCAAGTGCAGGCATTCCATGAGCCACTGTGCCCAGTTTGTGTGTGTTACTGGGGACAGGTCAGGCAAGTGTTATACCTCTAAGCAATACTCCTAGCCCAAATTAATACATTATTAAAATTAATTTCTCATGTCTTTGTTTATCTTTTGAGATAGAGTCACTCTGTTGAGTCACTCTGTTGCCCAGGTTGGATCTGAACTTGTGATCTTGTTTCCTCACATTCCTGTCTGCTGGGATTACAGAATGTGCCACCACAACCAGATTTATTTTGTTTTTAGATGTATGTATGTATGTATGTATGTATCTATTTTGCCTGCATGTATGTCTGTGTACCACAATGCATGTCTTGCCTAGAGAGGCAAGAAGAGAGTGTTGAATTCCTTGGAACTGGAGTTGTAGGAGGTTGTGAGCCACCATATGGGAGCTGCAGATTGAACCCCATCCCCTGGAAGAGCAGCCAGTGCTCCTAACTACTAAGACGTCTCTCAAGACCCATCCTCCTCCTTTTATTGACACAGAGTTTCACTATGTAGCTCTTGGCTGGCTTGAAACTGCTCTGTAGACCAGGCTGGCCTGGAACTCACAGAATCGCCTGCCTCTGCCTCTCAAGTGCTGGGATTAAAGGCATGCGCCACCAGCCTCGGCTCTCCTTTTCACCGTTTTAAATGATGTCTCTAGAAGACGAAGGCTGACGTAGTGACCCACAGCACATTCTGTCAGGGGCTCTGCCATGGCCGCCTGACCCTCTTCAGTTCTGGAGGCCCCGTGAACTTTCCCGGAAGGCAGTTGTGATGGATGGGGGCTTTCCAGTTGTAAAAGGAGAAAGTGACTTCTGTTGCAGTGAAGTGCAGAGCTAACCATCTCTTCACGGCTATTCTCCACAAGTATCAGTGTTTGCAAGGCAGACTCCACCAGCCGTATTCTGGAACTGGGGAGCTGACCCCCAGAGATGGCGGTTGAGTAACAACCCAAGACAGAGAGCATCCCCTTCCAGCCATGACTGGGCACTCCACCGAGCTTTGTCAACTTCATCGCACTGCTGACCTTGCTGTGGTCACCTCCATGTAGCGGTTGGGGCATCTTCTAACCCGTGTGGGCCCCTTTCTGGGTGATGAGATTAGAGTTGTGGTGCAGTGCTTGCTGTTTATTACATAGTGTGATGGACTCATTTGGACAGACTCATTTGCATGTTGTTGTTTATGTAAATGTCCCTCCGTGTCTGCTCTGAAGCCATTGCTGTCCCCATTGCAGGCACAGCAGAGAAGGACACCGTCTGTGAACTGCCTTCCCCGGGATCTGGCCCTGATTGCTCCAATCCAGATGACTGCAAGACACTTACTAGGTGACTCCTGGCCTCCTTTCTCTCCCCTTCCAGGTCACCTTTGGATAGGTTCCTCTGCCTCAGGGACACATGGTTCATGGGTGAGGTCAACCCCTGCTGGCAGGACCCTGAGGGTGGTCCACTGCCAAGCTCTCCGGTCATTGGAGAGACTGCTGTGTGTGTCCAGCCCTGCCTGGTGTACACAAGAGACCCAGAAGGCCTAGGTAACACAGTTTTTGCCCTCAGGAGCTCATAGCAGGGCCCGTGGGTGCTGAGGCAGGAGCCTTTCTCTGTAGACATTAACTCCCAAGCCCAGACCTTGTGGGAGTGGCTTGTGGAGTCACCAGACCTCTGTTTGGCTTCATCCCCAGCTATGCTCAAGCCACACCTACTCTAAAGTTCTCAGCCACTGAAAGTAAGCGGAGCTTGATGACAAGAGGGGGCACCGACCTTGTCCAGGAAGATGCTGCTGGGCTGTCGAAGGTTCCAGAGGCTCCCTCTTTCCATGCAGCGGAGCCGGATCCAGACCCAGGTACTGTTCACTTGAAGCTGTGGCAGTCTCCCAGGGTGCTGCTGTCTGACGAGGGGACCTAGATGCCCAGTGGGGACAGAGGAACATCTCTAGGGCACAGCTCCTGAGGCTGAGGCGTAAGGGCCAGAGGTTGGGCGAGGCCTACTTCCTTCCCAAAAGGTCTGAGCGTCCTGCATGCCCGGGTCTGGGACAGGTGCCGGGTGTGCCTGTACTCAGGGTGCTTGTGACGGAACAGGTGGTTTCGGTAGAGTTCCCTGTTGCTGTTTCATCCCTCTGTGAAAATGAACAGCCTGTTCTACACCATGCTTGGTTCATTCAAGCGGCCTCTAGAGGGTGGGGATGTTTCCACCTTGGGACTCGGGGTGAGGAATAAATCTTTGTGTGTGTGTACAGGTGCTCATGCCTGCCCACATGGAGGTCAGAGGTCAACCTTGGGAGTCATCCACCCCCATCCACCTTTTTTTTTTTTTTTGAGTCAGGGCCTCTCCTTGGCCTGGGACTCAGCAAATGAGCTAGGCTGACTGGCCAGTGAGTCCCCAGAACCCACCTGCCTTCTCCTCCCCAGCACTGAGGCCACAGTGTGCTCCGCCACTGTGTTTGGCTGCTGGCATTGAACGTGGGTCCCCAGACTAGTGCGGTGAGCACTGTCCGGAGGGAACCATGTCCCCAGTGTGAGCGTGAACTTCATGTGAATGTAACCCTGGTATACCCCTTGCCTTGTTTTTGTTGTTTAAGTGTAGGCTGCCTGCCTCATGACTCAGGCTCCAAGCTGTGCTCACAGTGCCCTCTTGGCCTCTGAGGGGATTGTTATTTCTTAGGCACGGTGCCTTTGTTGCCATTGGTTTTATTCTTGTTTTGTCTTCGTTTTTTGTTGTTGTTTTGTTTTGTTTTGAGAGAGGGTCTTGCTGTATATCGCTAGCTGGCTCAGAATTCATTATGTAGCCTAGGTGTCCTGGTTAGTTTTTTTGTTTTTGTTTTTGTTTTGTTTTGTCACATTGATACAAGGTAGAGGCCCTTGAAAAGAGGGCCCCTCAACTGAGGAGATGCCCCCATCCAATTAGCATTGTGGGCAAGTGAGCCTGTTGGCCATCTTCTTGACTGAAGGTGCACCCTGCCCACCATGCCTGGCTGAATTTTTTTAAGGTTAACATCTTTAAAAACCAAACCAAACTTGTAACTTTACCATGTGTGATGGTGCACGCCTTTATTCCCAGCACTCGGGAAGCAGAGGCAGGTGGATCTAAGTGAGTTCGAGACCAGCCAGGGCTACATAGTGAGACCCTATTTCACCCACCCACTCACCCACCAGCCAACCAAACGCACGCAAACAAAACAACAACCTGTAATTTCATGTGGTCAATGCAAAGTCAGTTGACTTGTCTAGGTAGTGACTCGTAGTGGGCTCTCCATCCCTGTGACCAGCATATCTGACCAGCTTTCTGAGGGAAAGGGGTTCTTTTTAGCTCCCAGTTGGGGAGATTTTTGTCTACAGCTAGAGGCCTGAGGCATCTGCTCACTTCATGGCAGTCAGGAAGCACAGAGAGGGGAGAGAGAGAGGCAGAGTCTCTTTCACAGGAGTGCCCCTAAGGACCTTTCTCCCTTCCAGTGGACTCTGAACCTCCACTGCCTCCCAGTGGCAGAGTGGGTAACTGCAATATTCATCAGAGTTTCTTCCCTTCCCGTGTTTGTGTGTTTGTGTGTGTGTGTGTGTGTGTGTGTGTGCGTGTGCGTGCGCGCACAATGGTGTGCATCTGAAGGGGTCAGGATGACTTAGGGGAGTTGGTTCCCTCCTTCCACCATGTGGGGCCTGGGGATCCAGTTTACATCCTCATGCTTGCCAGGAAGCATCATCTTGCTGGCCCTTGGGAAGCTGCTGAGTACCGTTCCCATGCAACCACAGCCTCTCTAATTAGATCTTTTAGATGGTCTTTGCCATCTATAGCCAAGAATGTTGTGTTATGGAGGACTACCCCCCACTGCCCCCCACTACCCCCCACTGCCCCCCACTACCCCCCACCGCCCTCACTACCCCCCACTACCCCCCACTGCCCTCACTACCCCCCCACTGCCCCCCACGGCTTCCTACTACCTCCCACTGCATGCTGATCAAGTCTTTCCTGGGGATTCAAAGTCTCTGCACTGATTCTAATATGTCATCCTCCCTATAGATAAGGCAGAGATGAATATGACCTTGAAGCTGCCGTCTCCAGAGACCCTCCCTGACTTCAGCACCTCAGAAAACATGGAGGAGCCTGCCAGGTGACTCCTAACCCCTCTTGTAGGCAGGATGGAATGGCCCCTTGTGATGCCTGGGGTAGTCTGGGCTGGAGGTGCAGGGGCATCAGGCCCGTAGGTCTTTGGTGGGGTTGGGGGTGGGGTGGGACATGACTGTGTCTGTCTCTATGATGACAGGATTGTAAAGCTGGGAGGTCCAGAAACTTAATCCCTGCACCCACAATGCCTAACAAGACTGTAGATGTTCTGGGCTCCTGGGCTTTCTTTATCTCTAGAGAAAGAGTCATCCTCCATTAGACCCCCTCCCCCCTTGCATGGTAATTGTGATCCTCACTCCTGTCCTGGGTTTCCTTTGGAACAGTACTGCCTCCACCCTGAGCCTCCTGGTGGATGCCCAGACCAGCAGCAGGGTGCTGCAGCCCAGCTCTCCCTTGTCCACAGGAACACCATTTCTGGATCCAGGTATGGACTGCTCATTGTCCAAAGCAAGGGATGGAGGCTTTCTTCCCAGGGCTGTGGCCTCAGGTGCGATGTGGAAAGAGATTAATCCCAGTTTTGGCTTCTAGAATTGAGGCTGGGGCTTGTCCCTTCCTAATGCTATTTCATTCTTGGGACAGGACTTTTTTCATGACTGCATCCTGATGACCTGTCATTACTACCCAAAATATAGTCGTTAGGCTGGGGGTGTGGCTCAGTTGCTGAATGTTTATCTCAAATCACAAGACCCTGGGTTTGACCCCTACCTGGGTATACATGAGGTTTAGTACTGTGTGTCTGTAATCCCAGTACTGACTGAGTATGGCAGTGTGAGTCTGTAATCCCAGTGCTGACTGAGTATGGCAGTGTGAGTCTGTAATCCCAGTGCTGACTGAGTATGGCAGTGTGAGTCTGTAATCCCAGTGCTGACTGAGTATGGCAGTGTGAATCTGTAATCCCAGTGCTGACTGAGTATGGCAGTGTGAGTCTGTAATCCCAGTGCTGGGAGGTGGAGGTAGGAGAAGTCGAAGGTTGGCCAGTGAGATGACTCACTTGCCATCTGCCCTGCCCAAGGATACAAGCTCAAAGACCTGAGTTTGATCCCCAGCAATTATATAGAGGGGGAGAAGAGAACTAATTCCACACTCCTAACACACACACACCACACACACACACACCACACACACCACACACACACACACACCACACACACACACACACACACACACACACACCACACACACACACACCACACACACACACCACACACACACACCACACACACACACCACACACTCACACACACACCACACACACACACCACACACCACACACACACCACACACACACACCACACACTCACACACACATACACCACACACACACACACACACCACACACACACACACACACCACACACACACACACCACACACACACACCACACACACCACACTCACACACACACACACTCACACCACACACACACACACCACACACTCACACACACACCACACACACACACCACACACCACACACACACACACACCACACACACACACACACACACACACCACACACACACCACACACACACCACACACACCACACACACACACACACACACACACACCACACCACACACACACCACACCACACACACACACCACACACACACACCACACACACACACACACACACCACACACACACACACACACACCACACCACACACACCACACACACACACACACACACACACACACCACACACACACCACACACACATACACCACACACACACACACACCACACACACACCACACACACACCACACACACACACACACCACACACACACACTCACACACACACACACTCACACCACACACTCACACCACACACACACTCACACCACACACACACACAACTCACCCCCACACACACAAATAAGGAAAATTCTTTAAAACAAAACAAAAAACTCTAGGTATGGTGGCACATACTTTTAATCCCAGCACTCAGGTGGCAGAGGCAGGCCGATCTCTGTAAGTTCAGAGCCAGCCTGGTCTACCTGTTCAGTTCCAGGTCAGTCAGGGTTACCTAATGTGACCCAGTCTCAAGAAAAAAAATAATTAAAGGTCACCTTGTGGTATGTAGCAAGCCAACATGGACCACATGATACCCTTTTTAAAAAAGAATGAGTTACTGAATAACTAGGAGCTTAATTCCTTTCTTCCTCAGTTTCCTCAGATGTAAAATGAAAATCGGGTAGGCACCCAGGGTTATCAGCATATAGCACATGTATGGTCTGTGTATTACTGGAGCTGGATAGAGGCAGTTTCTGTTCATGGTAATGAGGTTAACACAGGCAATTGGTTTTAGGACTAGCAGTACTAGTTATGGACACAAGGTGACAATAGTTCTCAAGTTAACACTAGTTCTCAAGTTGACCAGTTCTCAGCGTGCCATAGAAAAGTCTTTTGAGGGTTGGGGTTGAGGCTCAGTTAGCAGATGCTTGCCTAACATGCCAGAGGGTCTGGGCTCCATTCCCAGAGCCACATAAGATCCTATAACCCAACTCTGAGGAGGTGGGGGTAGGAAATCCTCAGATCTTGACCAACCTTGGCTACATACACAGCAAGTTTGAGGTTACCCTGGATGTTGACTCATATCAAAGGATACTTGAACACTAACACCTGAGACCTGTATCTAACTAGCAATTAAATAATTAAGATCACCAGACTAGGCTGTGTAAGGGCACAGGTGGGGGCTAGGTTCAGTGGTAGAGTAGGTCTTGCCTTGTATGCATTAAGTCCTGTGTTTTATCCGTGTGTGTGTGTGTGTGTGTGTGTGTGTGTGTAAGAGAGAGAGTGTGTGTATGTGGTGTGAGTCTCTGTATGTATGAGGGGTGAGTGTGTGTGCGCGCGCGTGCGTGCGCACGCGAGTCTGTGTGTGTGTGTGTGTGTGTGTGTGTGTGTAAAAGGACATGGGACATGGGATACTGAAGCCACCTGGCCTGGGTGGTGGGTGGTGACTCTCAAGGTGACTTTAGACAAGCTTTGAAAAGAGAAATCGTTCCTGTGTGTGATGTCTGAGTATGCATGTCCATGCCATGGCGAGTGTGGAAGTTACAGGGCAACGTTTGCGGGGTTCCCTCCTTCCTCCTTTCTGTGGGTTCTGGGTCCTGAACTCAGGTCATCAGGCTTGCAGGAGTGCTCTACCCTCTGAGCCATCCCACCAGCCCTCTCCTTTGTTTTAACGGAGAGGACACGTGCTGAGCATGCTCTGTGCAGAGCTGACCCTGAGCCTGCCCTCAGGAGCTGATGTCTCAGTTTTCCTAACCAGCCTTCGCCCTCCCTATCCCAACTAGCCACGGCTCTCAGCCTTCTGGAGTTCTGGAGTTCAACTCCTTTATTCTGGCTCTTTTGTTTGTTTGTTTACTTCTCTCTCTCTCTCTCTTTCTCTATTTTGGAGGGGGTGTTCTCTGTGTAACAGTGCTGGCTGTCCTAGAACTTGTTCTGTAGACCAGGCTGGCCTTGAACTCACTGAGATCCTCCCTAGCCTCTGCCTCCCAAGTGTTGGGATTAAAGGCATGCACCACCACCCCAGCTTTATTTTATTATTTTATTTTCATATGGGGTCTCACTATATAGCCTTGGCTGGCCTGGGACTAGCTCTGTAGACCAGGCTAACCTCAGACTTCCACATACCTCTGCCTCCCTACTGCTGGGATTACAGGCGAGCACCACCTTGCCTGGCTCGATCTGATTCTTTGATACCTTAATGTCTCACCCTCGAAATGGCTTGTTTTTCTCACTTTCTGAGTTAGCTGACTAGCTTCCTGGAGCCAGGTGAGGGGGGCGGGGGTGGGGACTCAGTCAGATGGTCCAGCCTGGGCAAGGTGGGACCCATGTCCCTGGAGAAGGAGGAAGTGGGCTGTGCCTGGGGCCGCCCTGAATGGATGCAGGGAAGGGCCCTGGCTCCTGGCTGTCCACAGAGCATAGGGCAGCACTGTGTTTCAGGGCCTCTGCTCTTCTGGGTAGCCATGGTGATGCTGCTGCTTGGCTCCAGTTCCTTCTTCCTGTGTTACTGGAAGACCTGCAGGAGGCGGATCCATCAGAGTAAGTGAGCATGTGTCTTGGGGGTCCAGGGGAGGGTGGCTGCTTTATGTGGGCCTGGCCTGGGTGCCTGCCCTGCCTGTCCCTACCCTGCTGCCCCACCCCCAAAGCCCAACTCCTGGTATCTTTGCAGAGTTCCACCTGGACTCCCTAGCCCAGACCTTCCAGCCGAAGACGGAGCAGGTGGGTGAGTATCCGGTAGTGCAGAGGGCAGTCTGGGCCAGGACGGACAGCTGCGTGACCATCGTAGGCTGGGCCGACTCACACCAAAACACTGTCCACCAAGGGGGTTTTGAGTTGGAGAAGTTTCATGAGTACATGCTCATATCTCCGAAGCCTCCGAAGCCTCCAAAGCACTCCCCAGTCGAGGGGGTTTTTGTATTTTGATGGTTTCAAGCTTGTTTCCATGAGCTGCCAGCCAGGGCTTTTTGAAACCAGTGTTTGCTTTCTTGACATTTTTCTAGTATTAGAGTTTCCATTGCCGTCAGTTAATTTTTTTTCTCTCCAAACATTTGTGAGAACAGTTTTGTTATAACAAGAAAGACAGAAAAAGAAGAAAAAAAAAAAAAAGATTAAGAAAAAATATACCAAAAGAAGCGCTAAGCTTACAGGGAACTGAGTGAATCTTGGGCCAATGGTTGTGTCTGAGCCTGGTTCTGGACCTCTGGCTTCCAGTGAGTCCCTTGGTGTCTGGGTTTCAAGGGCTGAAATGACAGAAGGTTTAAATCATGGTGAGCATACAGGAACTGGGTGACTGTATCCTAGACAAGGGTGTGCATGGCCTGGGCAGGGTGTGCATGGCCTGGGTAGGGTGGTCATGGCCTGGGTAGGGTGGGCATGGTCAGGGCAGGGTGTGTATGGCCTGGGCAGGGTGGGCATGGCCTGGGCAGGGTGGGCATGGACTGGGTAGGGTGGGCCTGGTCAGGGCAGGGTGTGCATGGCCTGGATAGGGTGGGCATGGTCAGGGCAGGGTGTGCATGGCCTGGGCAGGGTGTGCATGGCCTGGGTAGGGTGTGCATGGCCTGGGTAGGGTGGGCATGGTCAGGGCAGGGTGGGCATGCCCTGGGTAGGGTGGGCATGGTCAGGGCCTGGAGCAGTGGGTTGTAAAGGAGCATTAATTCATTTCATTGCTATTGCCATGAGCATGTCTTCAGTACAGGCTTTGTCTGGGGACAGGCTGTCCTAGATCTTCCAACCTTGCAGACAAGTGTGATAGCTGCTAAGAGCAAACAGCCAGTGGGGCAGGCATTGGTGTTCCGGCCCAGTCACTCCTCCTCCGCAGGGGGACTGTCATTTCCCCTAGTGGAGGAATAAGAGCAGACACCTATGGTCTGAAAAGGTGCAACCAGGTGCCTGTCGCCCACCGCCTCCACATCGCAGCATATGTCCTCATTGCCTTCGCAGAGGACAGACCGTCACATTTTACTCCTGGGGTGGCCTTTTCAGCACCTGCCGCCACTGTCCTCATTGCCCAGGGGAACTGCATGGGGCACAGGAAGATGAGGTCATTGGGCAAGGCCACCTGAGAGCTGACAGGACAGACATTTGCTGTTGTCACTGGAGTTTCCATGGACAGGGTGTCTCATTCTTGGCTCCGTTGACATTTGCCAGTGGACGGATAGTTGTTTGCTGTAGAGAGCTTGGGCTGGGCGGTGTAAGATGTTTAGCAACCAGCCAGGTGGTAGTGGCGCAGGCCTTTAGTCCCAGCCCTCACTGGGGAGGGAGGGAAGCAGGCGGATCTCTGTGAGTTGCAGGCCAGCCTGGTTTTCAAAGAGAGTTCCAGGACAGCCTCCAAACCTACAGAGAAACCCTGTCTCGAAAACAAAAAAAAAGCAAAGATGTTTAGTAACCTGTCAGGTGCTGGGGTACCCCTCCTCAGCTGTGAGACCCCCGAGTGTACCAGGGCAGCCAGCCTATCTTTTTATTCTATTTTTAATTAATTAATTTTGAGACAGTGTCTCTTGTAGCTCAGGCTGACTTGCTATGCAGCTGAGGATAACCTTGAACTTCTAACCCTCTTGCCTTTGAAGTGCTGAGATTACAGCGGTTGTGCTGACATGCCCAGGTTATGCATAGCTGGAGATCGAACCTATGGCCTCATACATGCTAGGCAAGCGCTTTTCAATGGAGCCAAATCCCCAGCCTTCAGTCCTTCCCCTCAGTCCTCACTTTAATATACACCCGAATACCTTGACCATCTTTTAAAGTTATTCTTAATGATGTGTCCATGGGGGCAGGGGTATGTGTGTGCACAGTTGCCTGTAGGGAGTTACCGGTGGTTGTGAGCCGTAACTCTTAAAGAACAGTGAGTATGTGCTCTTTTGTTGGTGGTGGTGGTGGTTTTTTTTTTTTTTTTTTTTTTTGAGAAAGTTTCTCTATGTAGCCCTAGCTGACCTGGAAGTCACTTTGTAGACCAGGGTGTCCTTGAACTCACAGAAATCCATCTGCCTCTGCCTCCTGAGCTAGGACCACAGGCATGATCCATGATGCCCGGCTAAGCAGTAGCGCTGTTAACCATAGAGCCATTTCTCCAGTCCTAACCTTGCTGTTATCACAGGAAGGGTGGAGGCTTAAGAAAAATTATTTTGCTCTGATAGAATTTCAGATTTTCAGAAAGTTGTAAACACAGTATGGAACTTACCTTTTCCAAAACAATTTTGGGAGTATCTTACCAAGCTCCATTTTTTTATCGCCCTTGAATACCTCCCTATGTGTTTCATAATAACCAGGGCGCTGCAGTAAAACCATTGGAATCAGAGAAATTAGCCTGTTCCATCACCACCAATCAGTGCTCAGGACAGACTGTGTGTGTGTTTGCTTATTTGTCTTTGTTGTCTTCTTCCTCTTCTCCTCGTCCTCCTCCTCCTTCCTCCCCTCCCCCACCCCTGCTCCTTGTTTTTAGACAGGGTTTCTCTGTGTAGCCCTGGCTTTCCTAGAACTCACTCTCTAGGCCAGGCTGGCCTTGAACTCACAGATATCTGCCTGTGTCTGCCTCCCAGGTGTTGGGATTAAAGGTGTGTGCCATCACTCGTGAACAGACTGTGTTTCTCCATGTGTCCTGACCATGTCTTTGGCTTGGGTTCCCTGTTGCCATTGGTGAACAGGGGTCCCCTCTTCTCTGGGTCTGTTCCCAGGCTCTTCCTTTGGTATCACAGCCTTGACACCAGGTAGAGTTATGAGCTGATCTGGCCTGTGGTCCTGACCTTGGTTCAGTTTTGTATTTCACTGAAAATGTTCTTGGGCATCAGTCTGATGCAGGGTTCTTTGGAGAACTTCCTGCCAGCTTTCCTGGTGTTTGGCGCATGCCTAGCAGGCAGGCTACACCTTGATAATGATTTGGCCATGACTGTTAAAGGAGGGTTTTGAGACTGTGCCAATAACCTCTTCTGCTTTTTATCATGCTTTTGTTTCCTTGTTACTATATTGTTACTATATATAGTTATATCTATGTGGATTCATGGGTTTCTTTCATTATTTGAATGTTGCTATCATTGTAGCAGGTTCTTGATCACTATCCCAGATCTGGAAAGCAAGAATCCCTCAGGACATGTCCTTTTCCTCTTGAGTTGGAATACCTTTTTTTTGTTTGTTTGTTACTGATTTTTTTTTTTTTTTTTTGATAGTGTCTCACATAGCCCAAGTGCCCTCATGTAGCTGAGGCTAGCCTTGAACTTGTGTCTTTTTTATATTTCTATTTTTTTGCTTGTTTGTTTGAGAGTGGTTCTTGCTATGTAGCCCTGTCTGGCATGAATACAGGGATCCACCTGCTGCTACCTCCCAGGTTGCTGGGGCTCCTGGGATCCCCAGCATGGGGTGAACCGCCATGCTGTGTTTTGAGTTGCTATGACTGTCCTCTTTTCTGGAGTCCTTCCAGGCCACCTCTCCACCTAGGGAGCCCACTGACTAAGCTTACTGGCCCCCCACTTACAAACTTCTGTCTTGGGACTGTCCTGACTCCCTGAGTTGCATGGGACTGGCAGGGAGAGCCCAGGGATGGGCAGGTAGAACAGACCTTTGAACCCTGCTTGGGCTCTCACGCCTCTAGCTCAGCTCGGGAGATGACCTCCCGGGGCCACGGCTGTACAGAATGTCCTGGATTTGGATCCTAGGGTGCCCAGTGGATTTATGGGAAGACTGTGATTGTTTCAAAAAGCAAGGGAATCAACTAATGAGAGCAGGTAGGCTAAAGCGGTGGCCTTAGGGGAAGAGCGCTTGGGCAATCTGAACTCTGCCCTTGGCAGGCTCTGCTTGGGTTTCTCAGAGAACTCATGTGTCGGAAAGGGCTGTTGACAGATCCTGAGGCCTTCTAGATCTGTCTTTTAAACTTTAATTTTTATTTATTTATTTACTTTTTTGGCTTTTTGAGACAGGGTTTGTCTGTGTGTAGCCCTGGCTGACCTGGAACTGCTCTTTAGACTGGGCTGGCCTTGAACTCAAAAATCCGAGTGCCTCTGTCTCCCGAGTGCTAGGATCAAAGGCAGGTGTGGGCCACCACCTCCCAGCTTAGACTGTCTTTTTTAATCTTTATTTCCTTTTCCTGCCATAGAGTGTCTAGGCTGTGTTAGCATTCTGGGCTTCGCACAGGTGTCCTCAGGATCCCCCCTTGGTAATAATTTAACTTGAAAAAATTCTAAAGAGACTTCACTTTTTAACTCCCTAAGACAGGGTTTCTCTGTGTAGCCTTGGCTGTCCTGGCACTCACTCTGTAGACCAGGCTGGCCTTGAACTTACAGAGATCCACCTGCCTCTGCCTCCTGAGTGCTGGGACTAAAGGCGTGTGTGGGGCTGGAGACTTCACTGGCGTGTTAGGATAAAAGAACTCTGTCCCCTCCGTACCTGAGCTCTCTCTGTCAGTCTCATCGCAGCCGCAGGAGACAGGACAGCCCCAATGTAGAAGTTTGCAACTGGGAAACATGCAGGCTTAGTCAGGGGGCTCCCTAGGTGGAGAGGGCCTGGAAGGACTCCAGAAAAGAGGACAGTCATAGCAACTCAAAACACAGCATGGCGGTGTACCCTTAGAGCTCCAGCACTAGGGAGGCAGAGGCAGGTGGCATATGCCTTTAATCCTAGCAGAGGCAGGTAGATCTCTATATTTGTACTAGCCAAAGCTATATAGTGAGAACCTGTTACACAGCCAGATATGAAATATCAGCACTTACAAGCTGAGACATTAGGATCAGGAGTTCAAAGTCACCCTTAGTTAGTTACCAGTTGGAGGCCACCTTGTCTTACTCTCTTCCCAAAATAAGAAAATAATAGAATTCCAGTGTGCCGACCTCTTATACTGGGGGAGGTACATTTACCACAGTTAAATGAATAAACAGTAATGTGTAATTAAAAAAAAGAGCCTATGAGCATTTGCATGTATGTAACTGCACCACATGCATGGGACCCACTAAGGCCAGAAGAGGGCGCTGGATTCCTTGAGATTGGAGTTTAAAAGGTTTTAACCACCAGGTGGGTACTGAGAACCAATCCTGATCCTCTGGGAGAGCAGCGATGCTCCTAATCTCTTGGCCATCTCCCCAGCCTTACTGTATTATGATTAAATAACAAAAGCCACTATTTTTATTGTTTCTTTACATGTTTTTTCTTAAGGTGCCAGGGACCCTGCAACAGTTTCTCAGACTTCCTTTTGACCTAAGTGGTCTTTGACAACACTGATCAGACATTTTGCAGGATTTCTCCCGCTGGGACTTGTCTAACATTTATTTTGTACAATGAGACCAAGGTTCTGGATTTGGAGAAGGAAAAACACAAAGCACAAAGCCATGCTTACCGCACCCTGTTCTCCAGATGGCTTATACAGAAATTTTACTCTGTGTGTGTGTGTGTGTGTGTGTGTGTGTGTGTGTGTGTGTGTGTGGTATGTGATGTGATGTGTGATGTGTCATATGTATGGCATGTGTGGTGTGTAGTGTGTGTGTGTGGTGTGTATGGTGTGTGTGGTGTGTGTATGCACATGCTTGCACTGGGAATAGAATCCTGGCCTTTCACACTTAGGAGACAATGGCTCTCCCACTAATGCCCCCCTCCTTACCTGCTGTTTTGAGATCTCTATCCTATCTTACTAAAGCCCTCCAGCTAGCCAGGGTTGTCCTATTTTGCAGATAGAAAGGCTGAGTCTTAGAGCTGTGAGGAAGAGCTGGTTCCCCTCCAAGGAGGTGTTGGGCTGACTGGCTCAGCCACGCTGTTGTTTGGCACTTGGCATCTTTTCACATTCGAATTATAAATATTCCTGCTTTTGTCTTTATTAGTGTGACTTCCTGAGGATGTGGCCCCTATTGGGGGGGGGTCCCCTGGTTCAGAGGCACCAAGGGTCCTAGAGCCAGAAGGCTCTGTAAAGAGATGGTGCCTGCTTACAGCTTCTCAGCCTCTAACTTACCTGCTTCTTTCCCAAGACAGAGTTCAGCATCTTCTGTTTATTTTCTTGCTACTTCAGCATGTACTGTTTTCTTCTCTGGACTCCCACAATGACTTGGCACCACATGTCAGTTGGCTGATTGCAAAACTCAAGACTGCTTCCAAAGGACAAAGATTTAGTTTCACCGATGTCACTTTTAAAATAGACAGTTAAACCCTGTCCCGCAAAACTACAATCAAACAAATCAAAAGGGCAAGCCGTGGAGAGATGGCTCAGTGGTTGAGAGCACTAGCTGCTCTTCCAGAGGACCTGGGTTCAATTCCCAATACCCACAGGAAGCCTCACAACTGTGTAATTCTAGTTCTAGGGTATCCAATACCCTCTTCTGGTCTCCTTGGGTACCAGGCATGTGCATGGTGTACAAACAAACACACATGCAGGCAAAACACTCATATATAGAGAAAAATAAAAAAGAAGCCAAACCTATCAAACAGAACTTGTGTCTCAAGCCAGATAGTACCTGAAGTGTCAGTGGCTTGGACTTGGTGGTTAGTGACCACCTCAAGGGACCAAGCCACGACTTCCTGAAGTGACCACTCTCCTGGGGACAGTGGTTACCAGGTTACATAAGCAAGGCACATTTGCTAACCTGAGACTTGGTCATGTCATTTTATGAGAGAGTTGTCCTGAGCGTCACTCTAGCCCATTTCCCTGACAGACTGCTAGGAGCTTGTCCCAAACTGCAGTGCTCACGTGACATTGTAGTTTGTTGTCAGTTAATCTGTGCACATATCAACTAGCACTCAGGGCCAAGCCTCTAAGTCAGAGAGAATGTTCTAGAAGCAGCTCATCCTGCATGCTAGTCCTTCCTGGCAAGGTTGCTTTGTCAGTGTGAACCTGACTGGCATTGCAGGGTCCCCAGGTGCCCTCCTGGGAAGCAGTAATGGCTCTGTCCCCATGGTGGGCCTGGGCTAGCTTGTGTTAGGTTGGGCTTGGTAATGTGGCCACCTCCTCCTTTCTCAGGTGGCCAGTGAGCTATGGTTAAATGTCACCAATGTTCTTGAGTAGCTGGTCCTTATTTAAGACAAAAGGATACTGGGGTGGATGTCCCGGGGTGGGAGGGGGCTGAAGTGAAGAGAGAAAGGTTGGGTCTTGAGAACTGTGACCCAGGCATCTCCAGAGCCCTCAAATGCCACCTCAGGCTCAGGAGAGGAGTGCGGCAGACGGAGAGGAGAGTTCTGTAGGGCCACAGCCTTCTGCTCACTCCTGCTTCAGAGGCTAGCTTTAGGCATACCAGGGGTTCATCTGGAAGTATCTGCTGCCAGCCCTGGGGCGTGGACAAGACTCAACCCCACTGAGATCCTAGGGTGCTGTCTGTCAACAGATGGGAAGTGCTGGAGAAGGTGTCAAACTCTTTGGTGACATCACTACATTTTTTTTCTTTCAGATTTCAGACCTACTGAAAAACCAACTGTAAGTGCCATCCCCAACCCCCAACCTCTCATTGCGAGGCTTCTGCCTTCTTGTTTGACCTCTTTCTTCACAGATCTGTGGTTTCAGGGTTGCTGGGGCCTGAAGGAAGACAGGAGAGCTATCTCCTTCCCTGGTACCCAGGGTTTTAGGTCAAGGAGCTAGGAGCCCAGGGGCTTGGCCTGGGGCCCCATGGTAGGGCTTGGCCAGGGACAGAGAGCCCCACCCCACAGCAACCTCCCACTCCTGGCTCAACCCCAGGGGATTTCCAGCAGGGATTGCAGATGGCAATTTGGTTTGGGCCACTTTGAGGTTCTAAGTCTAGTCTGGAGGGAGGGAGGCTGCGTTATTTATCTCTCTCTACTCTGGGAGGATTGCCCTCCAAACTGGATGACAGATTCCAGCAGTGTGTGCTTGCCAAGTTAGCTCTATGTATTGCGTGATTACTCTCTGCTACCCACATCCCCTCCCCTGCCCTCTCTTCAGGGTTTCACTGAGTAGCCCATGCTGATCTTGAAATCCAGGTGTGAGTTTCATCACCACAGCTGGCTTGCTAGACACCTTTGTGCTTTCTAGAAGGAAGTTACCTCAGAGAGTCCTGACTCTCAGGAGTTGGTACTCTTATCACATTTTGGTAGAAGAGGAAATGACAATCAGACAAGTTAGGGGTTACCCAGTTGGTGGCTCTGTTAGAACCCCAGCCTGTACTGGGGGGACTTCGGAGCTGGTGCTGGACCCTGGTCCACTAGCTGCCTCCTTTGGGAGCACTTGCAGAGTGGTCTTATGGAGTTGCTGTATGTGCTCCAGGGGCAGGGCTTTGCAGAGGCGATGCGCTTGTTCTGGAGTCCTGTCCTTTGCCAGGCTTCCTAGGGGACATGCGTTGGTGGGGTAGAGCTGGGGGAGGGGTACAGGGTTAAGGATGAGACACCTGCCTGTGGCCATGTGCTTGTGGCTCACACGGCTTTTACTTTTTTTCCATTGAGCAAGTTGTTTCTCTCTCTCTCTCTCTCTCTCTCTCTCTCTCTTTCTCTCTCTCTCTCTCCTTCCTCTTTCTTTCCTAACAGCTACTTTTTTTCTGTTTACTCTTTTTGTTTTTAATTTTTATTTTGTGTGTATGGATGTTTTCCTGCATGTATGCCTGTATACCACGTATATTTCTGGTACCCATGGAAGTCAGTAAGGGGCGTCAGCTCCCCTGAAGCTGGAGCTACCAATGGTTGTGAGCCACTTTGTGCACTGAGAACCAAACCGTGGCCCTCTGGAAGAGCAGCTAGTGCTTTCAACCACTGAGGTTTTTTTTTTTTTTTTTTTTCTTTTCTTCCTATTCCTTAATTTATTTTTGAGACAAGGTCTTATGTAATCCAGGATGGCTGGCTGGAAATTCATCATATAGCTGAGGGTAACCTTGAACTTCTGATCCTCCTGCCTCCACCTCCCAAATGTGAGGATTACAGGCCTGCACTATACTATGCCCGACTGAAATTAGGGTTATTGTTTGTTTGTTTTGTTTTTCCAGTTCTGGGAATCACATCAGAGTGCTAGGCAAACACTACAGTTCTCAGCTGTATCGCTAGCTCTGGGCTTCAGGTTTTCATAAAAGAATAATCAAGGCCACATAGATCTGCCCTCTGAATCTCTCAGCCTGGGTCCTTTTGAAGACCAGGAGGTGAGCGCCACACTCCAGGTCTCTCCCTTCCCTTTGCACTAATGCACGAACTCCAGAAACCAAACCACCACAGGTCTAATGATGTGGCTCTTTTTTTTTTTTTAAACTGTATTAGAACACAGTTAAAGACCGCTCTCCCCAGAAGTGGGGGGTGAAGAGGTATTGGGAGGCCATGAGCCTGGAGGAGCCTCCAGCATTTAGATCCTTGGCTAGAAACTTACTAACTGTGTGTGTGTGACCCTGAGAGAGTTACTACACTCCTCCAGGGCTCAGTTTCCCCATCCGTGAGAGAGGCAGGTGGCTGAGCGTGGCACAGCACTCTTAGAAGGACTCACCCGCAGTAAGCGGAGAGCACGTGAGTCACCGACTTCTGCTCAGCACATGTGAGTAGAGGATGTGGCTCAGTGGGGAGCGGGCTCCTAGTAAAGCCAGGCATAACTGGGCGTGGTAGCCCCTAGCCCCTGTGATATCAGTACTGGGGAGATGAACACAGGGGGATTGCAAGTTCAAGGTCATCCTCAGCTGCATACCAAACTTGAGGCCAGCTGGACTACAGGAGACAGTCACAAAGACAAAACAGTAGCTGAGCACTCGCCTTTAATCCAGGCACTTGTGAAGCAGAGGCCGGTAGATGGGTCTCTGTGAGTTCATGGGCCAGCCTGGTTTATATATTAAGTTCTAGGTCAGCCAGGGCTATATGGTGAGACATTATGTCAATTAAAAAACAAACAAAACCATGGAAAAAATGTACATTCTTGGGAATGCCACACACACGTGCCTCTGTCATGCGGCCACATGGCTTGTGGCAGCTTCCAGTCTCCCTGGCACTCTGGTGGAGTTGGGAGAGCCCTGCCTCAGCTCTGACTCTTGTTCACAGCAGCTGAAGAGAAGTGTATCAGTGACAGATCCCAGCACAGGATACAAGCCTGTGAGCCCTCCAGCTGTGGAGACTTGTACCAGCCTTGGGGCAGCCTGCCTGGAGAGCCAACCACTGCTGGATGACAGCACAGCTGGGAATCCTTTGACCCCCAGGGAACCTCCAGAGCCCCGGGTCTCCACGGAACACACGAATAACAGGATTGGTGAGTAGCCCTCCTGGTGGGAGCGCCTGGTCAAATCAGTGGGCACAGGGAGATGGATGCTGAGCTCTGGATGGGACTCACTCTGCCCTGGGAGAATGGCAGGGCTGCTGGGGACAATCACTAAGTGGGCGTGGGGTGATGAGTACGGTGTTTATCATTATTAAAGAGAAAGAGAGTCCTTCCCCGTTGGCCTAGTACAGAGCTCGAAGGAACGGAAGGAAGGCAGGCTGGTGACATCAGACACTTACCTGGTACTATCTCTTCATATCTGTCACATACTTCTGGGAATGATGACTTCACCCTGTCTCATGGCTGGGGAAACTGAGGCTTGGGGTAGGGGTGTGGAATGCGTTTTCTTATTGATTTGTGGAGACTGAGCCCCATATCTGATGGGTCCTGAAATACTGGTTTGTCCACACCAGTGGATCTCAGCAGGAGCCCAGAGGCCAGCCCTGACTCCCAGCATTTCCCATCTCTACTCCCCTCTAGCCAGGACAAACATCCTCTGTGGTTCCTATGGGCCTTGCCTCCTTCCTCATTTCCTACCACCCCGGAACATATACATCAGTGGTTCTCAACCTGTGGGTCTCGACCCCTTTAGCAAACCTCTATCTGAAAAATATTCACACTATGATTCATAACAGTAATGAAATTAGTTATGAAGTAGCAATGAAAATAATTTTTTTGTTTTGTTTCGTTTCTTGAGACAGGCTTTCTCTGTGTAGCTTTGGAGCCTGTCCTGGAACTCGCTCTGTAGACCAGGCTGGACTCTTAACTCACAGAGATCTGCCTGCCTCTGCCTCCCAAATGCTGGGATTAAAGGTGTGAGCCAGCCACCACTGCCCGACTACAGTGAAAGTAATTTTATGGTTGGGGGGTCAGCACAACATGAGGAGCCTTATTAAAGGGTCGCTGCGTTAGGGAGGTTGAGAAGTCTGAAGTTGATTGTCGCCTGTCAGGATGGAGTGTTTAGCTCTCACTCTGCCATCAAGGCTGGTCTCAGCCAGCAGCTCACCCCGCATCTGTCTTGTCCACCCTCCTTTTAGGGCTGTTTTTCTGATTTTCAGCTTTCCCTCCCTCTCACCCTAGGCTGCTGGCAGGGCTGTTTCCTCGCCTACAGCAGGCAGCTCCCCTCCTTTGGGCCTGGTTACCTCCTCACATCCTCTTCTCACTCTCTGCTGTGAACCAGCCAACTCTCTGCTGAGCTTCTCCACCCAATGTCCCAGCCCCCAGCCCCTGCTCTCCGGGGTAGGTGCTCCCTGGGCTGCCTTCTCTGGTGTGTTGCTGGCCCCGCCATGATGCTGGAAGGGCATTGGGGGAGGTGTTCTTCACGTTTCCATGGCAATCTTGTGGAGGTGAGAGCCTCTGGAGCTGTCTTTGTCCCAAGGCAATGTTTGCAGTCACGGCTTTCGGTAAGTTCTGTCTGCAAAGAATGTGTTTGGGAAAACACTGCCAAAGGCTGCTCCAGTTTCCCAAGAAGCCCTCTTGGCCTTTGAGTCCAAGATGACCCAAGGGCTTTGAACTTGGAGACAGGGCCAAAGCCTGTACAGGGGGAGATGGCAAGGGCTGGGTATGGGGGTGGGGCTGCTAAGGGAAGGCCTTGGAGGTCCCCTGGAACACTAGGACTCAGGTGTCCTTTATCCTCTTAGTGACACACCAGAAGATCAGCCTTCCCATCCAATTCCCAGCAAGGACAAATGGGTCTAAACCTTCTTCTCTGGCTATGCCCCCCCTACACACATACACACACACACACACACACACACACACACACACACACACACACTTCACCTGACCAGGACACTTGGAGCTGGGGTGGGGGGGAATCTAAGCAGCTGGGGCGGGGCAGCCTGTGATGGGTGGAGTCAGAGGGTCTGTTCCCATAGACCTGAGGGCATGGCCTGTGTCTAGTTTTGACTTCCCCTGCCCTCCCAACACCTCTCTCCCTGCATTACTTTCCAATACCTCATCTCCCTCTCTTTCTCTTAAACATTTATTTGTGTGTGTGTGTGTGTGTTTACATGTGCACACGTCTCAGTGTGCATGTAAAAAACATTCAGAGAACAACTTGCATGTGTCAGTTCTCTTTCCACTATGTGGGTCCCAGGGATCAAACTGAGGCCTTCGGATCTGGCAGCAATTACTGTTGTGTGTTGCGCCACCGTACCTTCATCTGTCATATATATAACTCCATGTATTTATGCGTGCCACTGCATGAGTATGGAGGTCAGAGTAAAGAGGACAACTTTTGGGTCTGGAGTGAATTCTCTACTTCAACCATGTGAGTGAGTCCTAGGGATTGAACTCAGGATTTTGGCTTTTATCAGGCACCATATCCTCCACCCCTTATCTCTCTGGCACCTCATCTCTCCTTTGTCAGCTCCTCTGGCCTGTTCTCAGGTGAATCCAGCACCTGATCTGTGGTCCCATCTGTCTTTTTTAGTATCAGGGATTGAACCTGGTCGCTTCTACATGCTAGGGGAGTGCCCTGCTACTGAACTATAGCCCACCCATCTTTGTTTTAAATTTTTATTTTTAAATTTAAAAATTGAGTGTGTGGTGTGCTTGAGTGTGTGCGTGTGTGCATGTGTGTGCATGCATGTGTGCATGCGTGCATGTGCTTATGCGCATGTGTGTGTGCATGTGTGTGTGCGTGTGTGCGTATGCATGTGTGTGTGTGTGTGTCTGTGTGTCTGTGTGTAGAAGCCAGAGGTTGACATTGGTTATCCTGATTGCATTTCACCTTGCATCTTGCAGCAGGGTCTCTCCCTTAAACCCAGAGCTCACTGAGGCACTTAGTCTAGCTAGCTAGCTTGCTCCGGGTCCCTTCTCTGCTTCCCACATGCTGTTGATACAGGCTGCTGCCACACCCAGCCAAGCATTACATGACTGCTGGGGATCTGAACTGTGGTCTTCATGCTTGTATATGACAGATGAAGGTGCTTATATAGCCAGCACTTTGCCTGCTAGGCAACTTCCATGGCCTTTGTTTTCTTTTCTTTTCTTTTTTTTTTTTTTTAAAGACTGGTTCTCATGTAGCCCAGGCTGGCCTTGAACCCACTCAAGTTGGCCTTGATATTGCTGCCTTCCTGCCTCAGCATCTCTAGATTTACAGATCTGTTCCACCAGGCCCAGCCTGCCCTCCCATCTTTTGCCAGCCCCTCAGATGAGGGTTCCAACACGCCTTGATGGAGGACGTGGCGTGGGAGCTGAGGCCCTGCTCTTGGCTACGGGGCCCACGAGACACGCAGTTTGCTTCTCTCTTGACCTTCCCCTCCACTTGTTGTTGTTTCCTATACTTCTCTCTTTCCTGGGTGTGTGAGAAACCAAAACAGAAGAGCTGGCATGGGGCAATGCTCTCAGGCACGGCAGGGCATTTGAGAGACTTCTGGGCTTCCTGAATCTGAGGGTGTAACCCCGAGGCAGGGGTCCATGTGCCCCCTGCCTCCACCCACCCCGGCTCCTAAGTTCCTTCTTGAGCTTCCGCATCCCATCTGCAGAGTCTGTTACAGGATGGGGTAGGGGTAGGGGTGCAGCCCCCAGCTGAAGCCGTAGGTGCCATGCCCAGTGAGTAGAGCCAACTGCTTCTCAGAGTCCAGACTTCTGCTTCCCATTGCTAATGGCTTTCTTTCCCCAAGGCTCCCTGACTCCCTCCACGGAAGGGCCATTCCAGCAAATCCCTGCTCCGTGAGCCTGTGCTAAGGACTCTAGCATGTCCTAGTGCCAGGGACTGGGTTATCCATCCACCTGGCACTCATCATCCACCCTGCTGGCTGGCAGTGGGGCTCAGGAGCTGGCCTACAGAAACACGGGGCCCCGGGCACTGTTGCGCGTTGTCAGGACCCAGACTTCTGAAGGGCATGGCCAACCAGCCAAGTTTGGTGAGGCTACTGGGATATGGGACCATCAGTCCATCAGTCCCAGGCAACCCAGGTCACACTGGTCACCCAGGGTGTGTGTAGATGAAACTGGCAAGGGTAGCCAGGTGACTGGGCGTTTCTTTGGAGGTGTCTCCTAACCTCACCTGCCGACCTTGGGGAGGTTCTTAGCCATGCAGTGGATTAGATTAATGGTGGTGGGGATGAGGCTGTCCGTGGGAATGCTGGGCCTCAGAGCTGACATTTGAGAAGGGCTGGGGACATGTCCCCTGATGTTCTTGTTACCCTGGCCTCTTTTACTGCTTATTTCCTGGCCTGACTGCATTCTCTTTCTCTGCTAGTCTCTGATGACATGCCTAGGTAGCCACGGGTGGCCCCACAAAAACCTCTCTCTGCAGGAGAGGCTGTGTTAGCTGTCTGAAGTGGCCCAGCAGGTGAGGTGGAAATAGCTGGGCCCTGGTTTCACCTCCCTCACCCACCCTCTTGCTTTACAGAGAAGATCTACATCATGAAGGCTGACACGGTGATAGTGGGCTCTGTAAAGACAGAAGTCCCTGAGGGCCGGGTTCCAGCAGGGTCTGCAGAGCCTGAGTGGGAAGCTGAATTGGAAGTGGACCATGCCCCTCATTACCCGGAGCAGGAGACAGAACCACCTCTGGCCAGCTGCACTGAGGTCACGTTCTCAGTGGAGGAAGGAGGAAAAGAGGCCCACGGGCCCACGACTGTGTCTGAGAAGTGATGCCCAGTGTTAGCTGGGGCTAGAGGGCAGCTGAGTGTACCCTAGAGATCAGGTTAGCTCCAAGCTGGGAAGCCCCAGCTTCCAGTGGTAGCCCAGAATGAAGCCTCCAGCTGCTGCCAAGAGCACTGGCTCCTGTACCCCAGGAGTGGGCACTAGCTGTCAGGCTAGTGTCTGCTGAGGGGGAAGCCACCTCGCCCACACCCTTGTGCCCTGCCCTCTCTGCCTGGGTCTCAAGTGATGGCTTTACTGGCATGCTACCAGCCTCCAGTTGCTCTACACATGGCTCCCTGCTGGCACAGAACCAACACCTGTTGTTCCTACTCCTGAGGCAAGGGGAAGTTAAAGGATGAACACTCACTTGTCATCACTGGCTCCGTGACAGCCTGCACCCATCACACAGAACTCTGCACCGCAGGGAGTCCACACGGAGACTCTCCTGGCCCAGCCTCGCCCCGTCTGAAGCCTACAAAATGGGCCGGCCAGTGATAACTCATTGTCCTCAGATGACCCTACCATGAAGCCTTTTGGGCTGCAGTGACCTCCCTTCTCCCAGTGCTGCTAGAGCCTCTGCTTTGTTCATGGCCTTCCCGTCACATGGAGATGACAGTACTGCTGTCCTGGGGACCCCTCCACTCCTTGTGTCACCATCTGTTCCATTCTGGAAGTGAAGAAGCATTGTCCGTAAGCCACCAGGGTCAGGCCTGGCATCTAGCGCCCCTGCTCTAGCAGGTTGGAGAGTGGACATTGGAGGCAGCCTGGTCACACTGCTTGCAATACTCTGTCCCCACTGGGAGGAAGCGATACTGGGGGACACACCTGGAACTCAGCTCTGCTCTTATTTTTTTTTCCCCCCTTTTGAGGCGCTTGGAATCTAACCTATGGCCTTGAACATGCCAGGCAAATGTCGCAGGGGTGATTTATATCCTCATCCCCAGCATTTCACACTAAGTACCAAAGCTGCTGTGACTGTCAACCTGGCTCGCTCCCAGGGATCTGCGGCCTCTTAGAACAAACAAGCAGCCGACTGGGTGACACATCTACTGGTCTGTGGCAGCCTGGGGACTCTGGACTTACCCTTGGGCCAGGCAGGGAGAGTTCTGTTTACTCACCAGCTGCGCACTCTCAGGAGGAAGCTGGGGCCCTGTAAGGAATCACGAGGGGAGTTTCTGGAACTGCCTGGATCTTTGGGGGAAAGTCGGAGCAGCTGGGTGCCACCAGAGGCCTTATACCAGGGTCTGGATACTGGCCAGAAGGGATGCATGTAGGGGTTGGATAGTTGCCCAGTTGCCTTGTGCAAGGACACAGTTGAGTGTGTGGGCATACACAGTGACCCTAAAGCCATGTCATGATGCCACACGGATGCCACACTCCTGAGTAGAAGCTATTGCCTAACTCTTCTCTCTCTCTCTGTCTCTCTCTGTCTCTCTCTGTCTCTCTCTCTCTCTCTCTCTCTCTCTCTCTCTCTCTCTCTCTCTCTCTCTCTCTCTCTCTCTCTCTGGGATCTTTTTCTGTATTCTATGCTAGGTTCAAACTTGATATGTAGCCCACCCCGAGCCTTTGACTCTTCTACGTTAGCTTCCTGAGAGATTTCAAGGTTGAGCCACCATACCCGACTGCTGTCACACACTTCAACAAGGTGACATATTCCTTTGTAAAGTGACCCTTCACACAGTTTTTGACCCTCTAAAAATCCATAAGGGCCTGCAAGAAACGTGCAAGTCTGAGGCTGCAGACTGATCACAAAGTCTGGCAGAACTTCCCAACCCCCCCCCCCAGGCAAGGATGCTTTCCGTGTGGGTGTTCGTGGTACTTGCAGCTGAGGACAGGAGTCTGTGACCAGCTGTGTACCCCTTAAATATCTCCTTGTCCATCCAGGCCTCTCCCTGATGAAGGCCTGTCCTCTGAGGATGTTGGGAATAAATGGTCTCCGCTCACAAGGCTGCCTTTGGTGTTTGTAGGAAGAATCCTGGAGCTCTCAAACTCCATGTTGCTGGAGGAGCCAGGGGGGTCTGTGGAACCTGGGGCTTCTATGGCTAAGCAGGAGAGGCCCTGCCACTCTGCACACAAAGGAGGGCTCGAGCTGCAGATAGCCCAGTCTAGAGAGTCTCTCCTCGCTGGCTGTGGTCTATTCCATTCCTAGGACTGTTGCTCACACCTGCGCCTAACACCGAACCAGCTGCTGTGTTGGCCGTGTGGGCAGGCCAGGAGCCAGAGCTCTATCTGATAGAGATGGGCCCTGTTCTCAAGGGGGCAACCCTGTGTGGTGAGGGACTCAGCTGCCACCTCTTCCTGAACAGTTGTCTGCAGCTGGTAAGTGTTCAGTTCTTTGATGCTGTTGCTTCCCAAGGCAGTCCTGTGGAATCCCCAAGATCTGGCACAGGTCCCTGTGACTGGCCAAGGGGGCTGAGCCCCCTGAACTTCTACCCTCCCTCCTCACCTCCCTTTCCAACAGTGGGTATGCAAGGCCTGGTTCTTGGTCAACTTCACCAAGTAGTGATGCACTCAACGGCGTAAACATGAGAATGAACATGTAGAGGGACATTTCCCAGCTGCGATTTTCCACACGTCTGCTCTTGCAGCTAGAGAACTGTTGCTTAGACTCGGGTTCAAATCCCAGCTCTCCCAGTGACCAACCAGGGAGCTTGCTTGATCCCTCGAAGGCTGTCATCATCTGTTGTTACGACACACCACCTGAGACTGGGAAATTTATTAAGAAGTTGATCCTGGCTGTGGTGTGGGAAGCTGTGTTTTCGGGGCTGTAGCTGGAGCCGGCTGACTTGCCCATGGATCATACCTGAGAGGGAGAAAGGCATCAAGAGAGAGACAGAGACAGGATAGATGTCAGGAGGGCCATTTCAGTCCTTACTGAATGCACACCACTGACCGCCCCCAGTTTATTCTTTTCCATCCTTATGTATACAGGCAAAAGTGGGGACAATGGCAGAAGACTTCTATTATCATGTATAAGGGGTAAACAGACTTACCTACCTTAATCCTCCAGGTATTTAGTAACCACACCTGCCATTGAGCCTTCAGAGCTAAGAGTAAACACACTGGAGACCAAGTCTGTTGTTATTTAGATAAAGACATCCTCTATGGAGGCCAAAACATCCTACGGCCTCCAAGCTAATAGACTTATAGGTATAAGGACAGTTTTGAACTCTCTGACCTTTAGTCAAGATGGAGTGGAGCTATCTTTATAGGCCCTGACACTATGGGTCTGGCGGATAGGAAATCTACAACTGGGCAGCCTCGTTTAAAGAGGCTTTGGAATGACTCATCTGTGGTGGGGTAACCGGGGCAAGTAGGTAAAACGTGGGTCAACCTGTTCTCATGGTAACTTCCAGTCCTCAAACACTGTGGATTCACTCCTGGGGGGGCCATGGGGTCTTGTGGACTGTGAGTGCCCTTAGCAACCTAGCCGCCCACTCCTGCTACAGTGGCAGTTGGCTCTCAGCATGAGAGGAGCTCCACCATACTCACCCCACAGCTCTCTGTCTTCATCTGTGAAATGGGTATCGGTTGAGACCTGCGAGGGCTCATGGAGTCACTGACTTTGGGTTTTGTTCCATCCTGGCTGGCTACTTGTCCAGAGCGAGCCCATCCTGTGCTGTGGACTCAGGCTTTCTTCCTCATGTAAGAGGGTCTCCTTTCAGAGGTCATTAGACTAGACACTATGTTTCAGGGAGAAGAAAGTGTGCTTAGTGATGGCTGGTTCCAAGGCTGGTCCTTCAAGACCTACTTTTAGACTAGCCTGATACCTTGTCTCCCTTGGGCCCAGGTCGCCCCCACAATGCGCAGGTTACTGCTTGCTGTCTGCAGTGCCCTGAGAACCCTTCAGTTTAGTCCGAGGGCTAGCTATATGTTAGACACCTAAAACTCTGGGTATATTTTTGAAGTTATGTCATGGTTCTAGTGCCTTCCAGACCACACCATATTACTGTCCACCATCGTGGCCTCCTCCCCAAAACACCCAGTCTGAGTAAGAAACCCAGGCTAGCAGAGTTCCTGGCACACAGCTTTCCTCCCAGGGATCCTGTGTCCAGTAGTGGCTCAAGAGCTTGATGTGAGTTCAAGCCCAACCCAGTGTACATAGTCAGTCAATTTCTGGGCATTCGGGGCTACATACAGAGATCCTGTCTCAAAAAAAAAAAAAAATCCAGTCCATGAATTAGCCTGATCTGGGTTCCCGGACAGAGTGTTTACAAGGAAGAGGTTGGGGACAACTGGGAGTCCCCCCCCCCCCCCCCCCTCCCATGTCCTGTCCCCCCCCCCCCCCCCCCCCCCGCCTCAACGCAGTGAAATGAGTCAGTAAGCCTCAGAAGGTAAGACCAGCCAGTGAAAAGGGCCTGAGGTGGAAAAGGTCTGGGACTCAAGGTCTAGGACTCAAGCTTCAGGAAGAACATAGGAAGCCCAGGGTGAGGAGAGAAAGGAGGTGGGCGGAGAAAAGCTTGCCCCAGGAGGCCTGGAGAGCCATCAGAGCACCAACCATTGCAAGCTTAGTTTATTGTCTTATAAGTACAATAAACTTCTCAGAGTGAATGACAAAAGCCAAGCCACAGGGGCAGTGAAAAGTCCCAAGAGCAGATTTCAGGGGGAAGCTGGGGATGCTGGTAACAGGAAGTAGTTGAGCAGACACCCAGACAACACTCCTAGGTATTGTTGGGGAGACCCGGAAGGAGGGAGCTGGGGAGTCAAGGTTCCTCTTTCTTCTGGTGTCTTCCAAGTCTACTCAGAGAAGTGTAGGGAAGGCTGCTGGCCTCTGGGCATTGGCTCTCCTGTCATCTGAGCACCGCAGGAGTTGTCAGTGGCCTGGTGAAGTCTGGCGACACTTTGCCATGGATGGAATTAGTGCAGGTTATGGCTGCCGGCAAGGCGGGGCCTGGGGTTCAGCTTTGGGCTCAGCCAGTTCCCCGCCACACACTCTTAGTCTTGCAACTAGTTTCCTGATTGACAGAGTGGACTTGAATTCTCGCCTGGTAAAAGGCTGAGAGGTGATGGGAATGGCATATCTATCCTAGCTGGCTGTCTTCACAGTCACTACCAGCTGCCTTTCAAGAGTCTTTGTCTTCCCGGAGCCCTTCCGCAGCCTGTGTTTGTGCTTCCTGGGGACAGCCCTGAAAGCTGAGCTGGGATCACCAGCCCTCAGCTGGAATACTC